AAGAAAAATAAAACGGTAGAATTTACATGGATACCATCCCTCGTTGGCATAGTAGGGAGTGAGTCTGCAGACAAGCTGGCTCGCAAAGGACTCAGCCTCTGTTCATAAATTTAACAGCACTGTTAAAACTGAAATTAAATCAAAATGGAAAACTAAGTTGACCAGAGCAAGATTCAAATTAAATAACGATCTGGTTGTAAAGACTGGGGTCAATCACCCATCTCGCAAAATATAGACTGAGAACTAAAGAATTAATTACCGACCATAAATATAAACCAGTGAAGTGCGAATGCGGCCACATTCTGACAGTTAATCATGTCGTCAGAAAAATGCAAGATGCCAAACTTCAATATACCCTCCAAAATATACTCCCCCCCGCCTTGGAATATGTCAAATTTTTTATGAAGAATCGGGAATTAACTGTTAAGTTAGTTGCGAAAAAGAGCACCTGTCGTGTAGACCAGGGTTGCGGCTAAGCCAGCCGTATGCTTTAATAATACCAGAATAAATTGATAATAAGATAGGGAACTACATATCTAGTTACAAAGGAAGGAACTATTGCTGTGGGGCAGTATGGCGGTTCTGCCTACTGTATGATTTAATATAATAATAAATTAGGGAAAATAATAACAAAAGAATAGGGACCTACACAACCATTATCAACAATGACAGCGTAATTTAATTTATGTCTAAAAATTTAATGCCATGTATTATTTCTATACATGTTTTTAATTTGTTTTAATTGCCTTGTTCTGTGTTGCTGCTGGCTCTTCTATTTTCTTTTCAGGTAACCTTTATCTGGGGGGAATCATACGCAAGAAAAACCCTAATGGAATGACCTTAAAGTGCACATAAGATGGGTTTGGGAACTTTTGGATATGTGTAGCCAATGGTTACTATATCAACTTTACGGCAAGTTCACGCCAATCTGATTGAAATTAATTCAGTTATCTTCACTCAAAGTCGTAAAAATGGACCTCCCGTGAAAACGACTTTGCCAATTATCGAAAACACTCTTAATCCCCTCAGACGCCAGTGACGTCACGGTGACCGAATGCATATTCGGAATGTTTATTCCTTAATTACCTATATACAGCCGGCGTGTGTACTCATTAACGCCTGACATATTCCTTAATCTCCCTTAGTTCTTAATTAAATAAAACAATTGACTACGGAATAATTCGTTTTTTAATTCATTTTAATTTAAGATCCAATTTAGATTGCCTACAACTTTTAAACTTTGAAGTCTTGAACTCTTAATTAATTTTTTACAATATGGAACTTATTGGACGAACACTTTTAATATGTAAATAATATACCGGTCCAGCTATGTGTTTTTTACTGCGATCACTTCGCTTTTCCACATAAAGTGTAGTGTCGTTAATATTTGTCATTAATTAATTTACACGTCGGTGTTAGCAGTGAGTGTTAGTTAGATTAAGAATGTTGATTGGGTAATTATCTTTTTTTACGCCGGCCAGATCAAAGACATCACTCTAAGTGGAACGTGTGCATAATACCTCATGAACGAACTAATGGTAGAATCGTACACCCACACATTAATTGTATAAAACCATTAAGTTTTACTCATCAGTTGTTTATAATTATTATTTACCCAATAATTATTGCTCACCAGTGTTTTTGTAATCAAGTAGCCTCGTATTATTTGTTGATTGGCGTTTAAACAACAATCGTTTATCTTCTTTTTAATAAAAGTATTTTACAATTGCATTGACAGTTTAATCACTCACCAAACGGCACCAGGAACTCCACGTGCAATTTTCGTGCCGAAGTTTAACCTCATTTACTACACCCGCAGTACATGTAACCGTAAATGGTAATAAGATTCCCAGCGTTGATTGGCTGAGAAATGAGGGCGATCTATTGTACATGTTATGCATAGTCATCGGAAAATTCCATATTCACTGTAAATTTCAAATGGAGTTACGATAAAAGTTGTTCTTTATGTATAGAAATGGTTATTATTATTATATATAGCTAATAATTAATATATCGACAAATGACTGGCGCCATTTGTATTTCTGTACGTTTGGTATATCAAGTACTACGGGGTTATCCAGATTACCGGTAAATGTGCTAATTTCTTGAGTCGTCTTCATTTGACACGTGGCCTATTTAAACAAAGGCAGCTTAAATGGATCAACGGCATGATACGGCATTTGAAATTCACTCTAAAATATTCCAATCACAAATGAAAGACGGTAATTCGGTGATTATGATTAGGCCTGTCACGTGGTAATTGGACCGTCAACAGACGCTTGTCAACTTGCCGTGTGTATTGATAGTGCTATATTGTACAGACGGTGAGATATTGTATAGATAATGTATATCCTATGTGTAGTGCCTGTGACGTCACCAGGCAATCAACCGGATTAAGGTCGTAATTGAAAAATTGAAAAGCGTTTTGGCGTGTCGGACACTTAAACGTTAACAGCCGACTTAATTTTAATCAGATTGGTGAGAAATTACCGTAAAGTTGATATAGTAACCATGGGCTATACATACATGTAATTTAGATTTTTGATCTTACGTGGTCTTTAACTTTTAATCCCTGACGCTCTGAACCGTATTAAAAGACTTTTAACTAACTTTTAACCATATGGAACTTATTGGACGAACAGTTTTTAATATGTAAATAATCCACGGGTCCAGTTATGTGGATTCTACTGCGACCCTTTCGCTTTTCCACATAACGCAAGCGGATTCTTTTCCCCACGTTTTTTTTTCTATCTGCACTTATGGCGCCAAATATCAGTCAGCTGGACCACCTGTTTTGACATGTTTTTTATTATGACAAAGGGAGAAGATGACCCACCCTCTCTTCTCACGACAGCGATTTTATAAGTGTGCTTTAAATTGACTTTTTTTTAATTTTACATGGACTTTTTATTTTGTGTTTTTACCACTTTTGATATACACGGACGTTTGTATTGCATGCTTTTACCAATTGTAAACCCATTGAATGTAAATAATTTAATTAAATCAACCTGTCCATAATATCATATTTAATGTATTGGGCGTTAAATCTTTAATAAACAACAACAACATCCTAAATTCAGATAATATTCTACAGTGGCAAACGCACAACTTGAATTCAGCTTTGTACCTACAAGTCGCAGAGGACGATATCGTTGTTCATGTGGTTATATTTACGGGCCGATCCAGAAATAAATGAAGTGGCCGACTACGTAATAAACCAATGGTTCAAGGGGAGATATGCTACTCTTCAGTGGAACCGCTACGACACAGGGAAACACAGAACCAGCAAAACTCTTGGAGGATGGCATTCAAGGATCAAGAAGCTAATTAAGAAAGCTCATCCGAATGTTTTTGAAATGATCGCATTTTTACAACAAGAGCGAAATATGATTAAAATAAGAATCGTACAGAATGCCGGGGACAGGAATCACCAAGGAAGAGACATAAATATTCCCAAATCCAAAAACAGCTCCAGGATTTAAAAAGAAGACATGAAGAAGAAGAATTAACTTTAGTCTAGTATTTAGACTGGGTGTCTTATTTGGCGAAATTAAATTAGTTATATTTTTATTTCCTAAAGTCATGTCAATCATGCTGCTAAAATGTTAGTTAATTAGTCACATTAAGGATTATGAAGAAGAAGAAGAATTAACTTTAGTCTAGTATTTAGACTGGGTGTCTTATTTGGCGAAATTAAATTAGTTATATTTTTATTTCCTAAAGTCATGTCAATCATGCTGCTAAAATGTTAGTTAATTAGTCACATTAAGGATTATGAAAGTGTAAATTCGTATCATATCTATAACAGCATTGTTACATTTTAATCCATGTTTATGCCTAAAAGCTGGATTCCCACGAAGGCGTCGAAAACGCCCCCTCCCCTTTCTAATCCGTTAGGGTTAATAACTGCGCCTTCGTGGGAATAAACCAAGTTATTTACCGTGACTGTATGTAACCAACATATTCCCACTGAAAGACAATGATATACTTAATTTATAGAAGGCTTATATTTATTCAGTATGTAAGTTAGAAATGAAATGAAATGAAATGGGGTTTAACGTCCTACTGTTCTGCTCCTAACCTGGGCTAATGAAGACGGGCATACGCCATACAGTGTGCTATGAGGGAAATTTTTGCCCGGGCAGCGGCACTATCGCCTACTCTTATATCGAATTCCAACTGCCAAGGGATCTTTTACGTCTCATCCGAAGGACTAGACAGCTGTCCTTGTCAGGCCCCCCGTTCTGCACCACTGACAAGGGGGAAACCACGTCGGAAAATCCAGATGAATTTCTCGGCCAATGCAGGGATCGAACACCCGACCTCCAGGCTAGCGAGCCAGCGCTTACCCACTTAGCCACGTGATCCCCATGTAAGTTAGATCCTTACAATAGTTGAGATAATTTTAGGTGGACAAATTTGTGTTTTTCAAGAAAGTAGGAAGACAGTTTTACAAAACTGACTAATGCTAAATAAGAGCTGAACCCAACGCCTGTTTCTGTTTGGCAAAACGATTCCAAAACTGTATTTGAAAGCTCGCTGCGGACATTTAAATTTTACGTCTGTTTCCGTGACGTCAAATACTTTCACAATATTAGTTAGTATTTTTAGAGATTGGACTAGAGCATTGTGAAATATAATTTCCTAAACATATTCGAGAGATTTATCGATTGAAAAACATACTTTAGGATTATATCCAAATTGTGACGTCAATTCCATTCAAACGTTTCTAGCATTTCTGTGCAAGTGCTACCAGTTTCTTGAATCGCTAGAATAGTAAGCAATACTAGGTTATAATTGTCCAATTGGCTTCTGTGCATGTCCATCATTAACTTCCAGACGTGTTGGCAATAATAGCATTTTCAAGCAAGTGTAGGTCAATGCTACAACTTTCTACGACGAATTAGTAGATTAATTTTGGAATTGAATGTCATCACAAAGAATAGTTTGCTAAATATTTTTATTCCTCTACACTATAATGAATTTAATAATGTCAGAGAGCCAGTCAATCTACATAATTTTGCAACAAGTAGCATACGCTACACTACCAGCCATACCCGGTGTTTTCATTTCACCATTAAATGCTAAACATTTATCACCTGAAAAACATAGAAATTAAACAGACATGAGATTTGCAATAAACCAACAATAGGGTATAATAGCCAAGACCGGATTAAAGGGTGGGGAGGGACAGAATTGACTGCAACCAGCTGATTAAATATTTAAGACCCCCCCCCCCCCAAATTAGTAATAAAAAAATGTTTTACTTATAAGTTTATCTTTTTTATTGTGTTGTTTATTATCTGTAACAAATAGTTATATCTACCATACTGGTATACAAATTGCATTTGTGTGAGTTTGACAGACAATGACCAGAGTATGCCTCCGTTTCACTTTTGATGCAAGAGCCCCAGTGACATTTTCAAGGGCCCTATGCGAGCTTAATCCGATCCTGGCTTTGACTATCTGATAAACAATCAATATCAACGTTCACTTTGCGTGTATTTTACCTTCAATAAATGAACCAGAAACGTCGCCATCTTCCGAGACGCCATGACACCCAGTCATAGTCCAACCAGTGCCGCAGCTTACTACAGATGCGTCTCCAATTTTATGACCACTTACAAATGTCGATTTTTTCACTTGACAATGCATATTAGAAGCATTGCAACAAATAGAGTAAAGCCAATTTCCTGCAATTACAATTAAAAAAACATACTAATCATAAAAATTAGTAGAAAAAAATTACAATCCATCGCAATATTGACCTGAATTTCTTCAGTAAACTTTTATCCCATTAGTACATGGAAGATTAAATCGACCCAATTTTACTACATATAAAGATCACGGCTAGACAAATTAGTCCAAATAGAAAAACTCAAAATTAAGAGGATTAAAAAGACAATAGGAATTTAATTCTGAACCTCTTTAATACGATTATACTGTTGAAGTCGACTCTGCTCTGAGCCAACAGTAATATGTAAAATGAGTCTGTACTCGGTTAAGTATGAGAGTCTATAACTATGGAAGACCAAATGGGACAATATTCATGATTCTTGTTTCTACATTCCAGTTTGAACATTTTAGACACAAACGCAACATTCTAAACTAATGATTCTTGTTTCTACATTCTTATGTCAACATTTCATGCACAAAATCAACATTTTAAACAAAAAATTGACTTTATGTTTCATTTTCGGCGTTTTATCGGTAACTTTTATATATATCATTAAATATTAAAATGAAAAAATAATTTCTTAATTTTACACAACAAAGAAATCAATTCATTGGTTTCTGAAAGTATCTTAAAAAATCTGGAATTTGAACTCTTGTGAAAATATTTTCTACGTTTCAAAAAGTCTTGAAGTTAAAATCTTGAAATGAAAATGTTCAGAAAAATATAATGAATTATCAACATTATTACACCAGAGGGCGTTAGCGTATGTGTACAACAGGAACAATATTGAATAATAACATAAAACAAGAAACAAAAACACATACTTATGGAAATAGCTACTAGTGTATTTTAACGTCCACTTCGACCTAGAGTGATATCGCAGATAAGACGACAATACACATATGAGGCAAATATATAGACAGACTGTAACAACATACCCGAAATCATACATGACAACAACAAGATCAAATGTACAAAGACGGTGTCTTATCTATCAACAAGCAATTCTACCAAGAAAAAAAGCACACCAAGTATGAACAAAAAACCACACAACACGTGGCCAAGAAGTTCACACTGGGAATGGAACTGGGTGTCAGCGCCTTCTCATATTGTTTTGGCGTGAAGTAACTATGATGATGTAGAATTAACTAGATGATCCTTGGGCACTGGGGACAAGTTATACAACAATAAATGAACCGGAAACAACTGAGATTTGGATTTAATGAGACACTAATAAGCATGAATAAAACAGAGTAGAAAATAATAATAACTAATCAATAAGTTGAAACACATCACTTAGGAAAAGTAGATAACTATACTATTAATCAATTAATGGGTTATACGCGTTTTGATGGCCATATGTTAGTAATTGACGTGGGTAGTTTGTAAGGGTTTCTTAGATGTGGTCTAATTCTGTTCGGAGGGATTGTTTGTCAAAGATGTTGACTGCAATGCGTGCTAGAGTTGCTATGGTGGCTTTCTTAACACTAAATTGGTGGTCAGACCTGAAGTTATTGTACTAGTTAGTGTATTTCGATGTTCTATAAACGATTGTAGAAAGTATGTCTTCAGAATTTCTTCACTAGTACAGAGGCACTTGTTCTCTTCTTTTTATATTGTGAATTTAAACAATAACATAAACACGATACACTGCTTAAGGCTATACCAGGAAGATAAAGTCCTTAAAAACAGCCATTCCGCCAAATCACCGACTGAACTCGGGTGAGACCATAAACTCTTCTCTGCTTGTCTCCGCTCCAAGCCTCTTTAATTGTCAGAAAACACGTTGTTATATACCTCCCGACAAGAGAGAAACTGGATATTAACATCGAATAAGGAATTGGGTCTCAACACAGAAGAACATCATTATATATGAAGTTTCTTATACCACATATTATCGTATGGCCATGATACACAGGTCAGTCATAATATGTAGTTTGTCAATAACATGTGGGATTTATTAAGTCTGTAAATAAACACAACCAATACATGTACATATGTATATGTAGTGGTCAGTGTTATAGCCCTTTCAGGGTTCATTGCATTTAAAAAATGTTATTATAATATATGTATAAAATATAGTCTAAATATAATAAAAGTTATGGAGCACTTTGTCACAATACCAAGCAAAAATGCAACTCGAAAAGTAAAACTTAGCACGCCTCGAAATTAGCTACACATCATTAGGTAAGTTTTATATCTCTTCAAAAAAAAGTAGGGGCTATTCAGATGCAAATACCTATGCAGGTTGTGATATGATAAATAGTCATGAACACTTGACATGCTTTGAGAGTATGTTCACAGATGAAAAACTTATCGCCCCAACAGAACCACTGAGCTGCACATGCGACGCAATAGCGTCATACACGTGGGAGGGGTTCATTGTCAAATTTGACACTTTAAGGAAGGGTTGATGAAAACTGCCGCGTGCTGGTTTATCCTATCCATGTTTTCTTTCCTATCGGTTCTTGCAGAAGGTTTACTGTTTAACGTAATTTGCTTTAGTGGAATACGTTTAATTTGCAATGAGACGTCTTCAACATGATGAACGAGTACGTGCTATTGTCATGCTTCAAATGAGTTCTACACAGCGCGCAGTAGCCAACATGCTTAATGTGTCACGGTCTGTGATCAGCAGATCGACTGTGGAACCGGTATCAACAAACACACAATGCTGATGATAGATCCCGTTCAGGTCGTCCTAGAGCCACTACACAAGCCCAGGAATCGAGGACAAACGGCCAATCAGCTTTCTGTAAACTTGTACCAAGTTATAGGAATTCGAGTTACACCCCAAACGATAAGAAATCAGCAACATGCAGCCCATTTGCATGCGAGACGACCGCGTGTTGTGCCTCCATAAACTCGCCAGCACATGGCAAACAGGCGTCAATGGTGTAGGCAGCGTAGAAATTGGGGTAATGTTCTCAGATGAGTCCAGATTTACTCTGGATTTCACCGATAGGCGTGCTCGCGTTTGGAGGCGTATAAATGAGCGCAATGCTAACGTTAACGTCAGACAGCATGATAGATTCGGGCGTGGGTCTGTCATGGTGTGGGGAGGAATCACCATGACTTGCATATTGTTCAAGGAAAGGTCACTGGTGTGTACTACCATGACCACATTCTGGTACCGATAGTTCTCCCCTGTGCTCAACGTGGAGGTCGACATTTCATCTTTCAAGATGATAATGCCCGTGCCAACCGCGCTCGTGTCGTGAATAACTACCTCAGCGTCACCATATTGTCCATATGCCTTGGACAACGTCAACCGACAACACTGCAAGAATTGGCCGTGGCACTGCAAATGTCTGAGGATTGATGGAGCAATTACTCATTATTAATACGAAAATCAACAACGTCCATTTTCACTTTTGACAGTGTATCTCTTTGCGAGTAAAATGGGGCCGTCAGATAAGCCGCCCATATGAACTGTTTATGTTCATGTGTAGGCAATTGACCTGTTATTAACATACATTGGTTACCTCTAATAAAAACAGCAGTGCATTTCCGCAGTTTTGTATTGTTTCTGGATATCCCCTACTTTTTTTGAAGAGTATAATATTATTGACAGTTGCATAAACCTACATAGAAATAATCTTGATCGGGATAATATTATTAACATTCCTTTAAATGACCGGCATCAATACTAAATCACACAGACCATACTGTTAACGCGAATTGCGCGTATTCAAAGCTGGAATGTAGAGACTGCAAATTCCCAGGCAAAACTCGAACAGTCCTTAATATCAAAAATAAGCCAAAATGCAACTCGAAAAGTTGAAATTACGAATGGTAGTTCTAGGTTTCCATCCTCTTCTCTCATTTCCTTCTTTTTGTTGTAATAATTTCTGGGTTTCGTTTATAGTGTAGAAATTCCATAATCCAGGGTCTCGAATTACTATAAAACTATCATTCAGTGGCGAAGCTTGATAAATTTCCTCAAAATTGTGACCGGCGTCTTGTATTCGTCTACTGTTCAGGCAAAATAGCAACTTTTGTGTCAATGGCGTAGACTGAAAGTGCCGCCTATATGGCCGATCACCAGCTCCTCCTTGCCCGTCATAGTTTCTCAACCCATTCTATAACGATAAGTGTATTCACGTATTAAAAATTCATACAATATGCCCACCAGTGATAACAGGTGTTTAACAGTTTGTGTCGAGAGGAGAGTAAAAAAAACATATTCAAGGGCTTTTGCAGGTCTTCCTCAAGAACACCTTTACCTTTATGACGACCTCCTATGCGGACACCCAAAATATTGGCCTAAATCAGTGAGGCGCTATACTCTTCTTTCAATTGATAAACCTAACAACCCATTAAAGCCTACCCCACGCTCTCACCGTCCTATTGATCGTCAAATACCAACCCCCAAAGTCATCCTGATTCTGCGCCCGACAGGAATGCGTTGTAGGATAAACACCATCCATATGCCTATTCCAATTATGAGCAGCACAACCTGAAAAGACGTAAATAATCGATATTAACAGGATGCGTATTTTTGAAATTTGTGGTATTCCCTAGTACGTTATTTTCACGATTGTAGATAAAAGTCAATCAGAGAGAGAGAGAGAGAGAGAGAGAGATGGGTTTAACACCCACTCGACACAAACTAGGTCACTTCGGGACTAACATATGGTTCAATTTTATTGCAATAATTCGCTTGCGCATAGGGCTCTTTAGCAGTGGGAGGAAACCGGGGATCTGGAGAAAACCCACGAGGTTGGACAGGCGACCCTGCTCCTTGTCACGTACAACCGAGGAATGGAAACCACACCAGTTGACTCAAGACTCAATGACAGATCTTATGATACAGCGCGCACGTACTAACCATTTACTTTGCTAGTAAATCGGAATTCAAGCTATTAAAACCTCTATTGCTGATAATAAATTGAATTATTGCACGGCATGACACTTAACCCTCGACCTAAGCTTTAAAATGAACTGAAATAGGGTTTAACGTTCTACTGGGCTTATGAAGATGGACATACGCCATACAGTGTGTTATGAGGGGAATTTTGCGCGGGCAGCGGCACTATGGCCTACTCTTATATCGAATTCCAACAGCCAATGGATCTTTTACGTGCATGCCAATATACACAGGACCCTGGTTTTTTTGTCCTATCCGAATGACTAGACAGCTGCCAAAGCTTTGATGCTCAGCGCTTAATAAGAAAGAGCTAAAAAACAATACAAGTATTTTCGAAAATACATAGATTAAACGCAGCATTAATCAAGCCATACAGTATGCTATGATGGAAAGTTTGCCCAAGTAGCAGCACTATTACCTACTCTTATATCGAATGACAACTGCCAAGGGATCTTTTACGTACATGGTAATGTATACACGGGACCTCGGTTTTTCGTCCCATCCGAACGACTAGACAGCTGCCAAAGCTTTGATGCTCTGCGCTTAAAAAGAACGAACTGAAAAAAATACAAGTATTTTCGAATATACATGGATAAAACGCAGCATTAATCACGATAATTCTCACCTGTGGCATACATATTATTTGGGCATTTGGTTTCCACGATGATGTCAAATTCTGACGAAGAAGGTTTGGGTGTTGCTCTGTATTCACATTGTAATCCTGTCACTTTACAACATCTAGCAAAAGCGTGAACAGCTGTAACAGAATTCCAACGTCAAAAACAAAGGTTTTAAATAACTTTTCGAAAACCAGCAAGAACATTACCTATCATGGCTCCAATTGATAGAAGAATGCAGGTCATTTTTAAGGAATCGCATTTGATTAACTGTTTATACAAAACATAAGCGCGGTCGAATGTTTTGCGTGTGGCAAACAGTGGAAATTGCCTTCACAGCAAATTTTTAAAAATAATTTCGATTAGCCAATCAGTTGTAAAGTCAAAGGCATACACTGTCAAATTGATAATTAGCCGGTTTCATGTGCGAATTTCTGGGCTTACGGCCACTTTCAGTACGAACGATGATTTCCGCCGTGGTCAGTGGTCGCGTTCAGTATAAAATGCCCCCTCAAGAGTGGATCTGGCCTATATCTGAACGCGAAAGACATCTGTGGTAAAGAAAACCAATAAATACTGCAGAATCACCTGCCATGGGATTGTGAATCTCTACTGTACGAATGTATTGCTTGTTGTGCAATTATCGTTTTGTTGTGCAATTATCCCATACATTGCCTATTAAAGAAACAGTTTGATTTAGACTTAATTCTACTATTACAAACCCAAATCTATCAACAGTCAATTTGATACGCGCGCATCAACTGTGGAAGGTAACTTTGTCCGAGCATCGTCCACATTTCCAGATGCTCTTACTTTGAACCGGGTTTTAAATTAAATTTCGAAGATTCTTCTAAACCCACTCCTGGTTTTGACCCCGGGGAATATGTGTTGAGACGCAAATGACCCAAACTCCAGAAAAGCACAGTAAAATTCGTAAATAGATGTTTTTAATAAAATAATACGTGAATTATAATTGTCAGGTCCACCACCATTCCAAGCTCTACAGACTACACCATTCTGTGTGTCTACAGATGTTCCATCACCTTTCGCAGTTAAAGCCTATGAGAATGAAAAGAAATGAAATGAAATGGGGTTTAACGTCCTACTGTTCTGCTCCGACTGGGCTAATGAAGACGGGGAAATGCCAAACCATGTTTAATGAGGGAAACTTTGCCCGGGTAGCGGCACTATGGCCTACTCGTATATCGAATTTCAACTGCCCGGGATCTTTTACGTGCACGCCAATGTATACACGGGACCTCGGTTTTTCGTCCCATCCGAAGGACTAGACAGCTGTCCTTGTCAGGCGCTCCGTCCTGCACCAAAGACATAAGGAAAGCACGTCGGAAAATGCAGGAATCGAACTCGCGACCTCCGGGCTAGCGAGCAAGTGTCTTACTCACTTAGCCACCGAAGAGCATAACAACATGCATACTGACATCTAGAAGAAACTATACCAATAATAACATAACTAGTTAACACATTTCTGAATTTCATAAGAACACCGGATAGTCTCAAAGTAGTTTGTTAAACGAATAAAAATTAAACGGGTGTGTATAGCTAATAACAGTGCGCGCTTCGGATGGATACGTTTTTCGTATGATTATAGCCTACCGAATATTTTGTTGTTCAGTGAATGGAAAATGATTAAAATATTGTGTGATGACAAATGGGGTGTCAGATGGGAACATGTGGTCAATTCGTACGAAGGGAAAAAGTTACAGATAAAAATTATTGTTTTGTGAATAATAATCGAGCTTGTATATTTACGGGATTATCAAATTTAACGTTTGTACTATTTTTAAGTTAGATCGCGAACTGAATGACTGTTAAAAGGTTAGCTTACAATTAGTTTATTGACTAATCTTTTGACTACCTTTAATCCCATCGAGCAACATCAAGGCGATTAAAATGTCCGTACGCAGTCTGTCAAAGCAAGTTTAATGTGTAAAATGGTTAATTTCTTCCGTGTTTTATTTTCTATTGAACTGTCTACCCCAAAACAAAATATAATCCAGTTTTTATGGAATAACTCAAAATGTACAAGTAAAATAAAACACGGTCCGCTATAAATAATAAGAACCCTGTTACCATTGTGAAATGAATGGGGGTTTAACGTGTTTTTTTGCCGACTTGACTGTCAAAGGGGACTCAAATCTACTCCCAGACTAATTATATTTAGAGAGAAATGGGGTTGAATGTCAACTCGACACAGACTAGGTAATTTCGGGACTAACATATGGTTCATTTTTTATTTCAATAATTCGCTTGCGCGTAGGGGTCTTTATTAGCAGTGGTGGGAAACCGAAGGACCCAGAGAAAACCCACGAGGGTGGACAGGCGACCCTACTCCTTGTTACGTACAACCGGGGAATCGAAACCACGCCAGTTGACTCAATGACAGACCTTATCAGCCCCCCCTCCCGAAAAAAGAATTGCTGACCACAGTTCTAAAAATACCTACTGTTTGTAATAGAAAGCAGTCAGGGATCATCATGTGGAGTGTTGATTTGGGGACGTGGCACCTTGCACCCAGTCTCATATTATTGGTTATGTTCTGACATCTATCTGCCATATATTTTGTACTGACTTGCCCAGTGGCCCAGTGGGGTCCCTGTCTTGTCACTATGTTCATTTTTCAAAGTTTGCTAGAGAATGATTTTCTGGGCTGGAAAACGCGTTTGCGGCCGTCCAATTTTCAAAATTTTCCGGGGGAGGAGCAGTGACAAATCATGGTAAGGGCTACAAAGTCAAATGCTTTGGCCCGGGCTCCGATTTGGTGACAAATTTTTATATTTGTTAGAAGAAAATAATGAAGATCCATTTCCTAAAAATCGTGAAACATAGTGGCCCTTATTCGACGAGTTTTGATTATCAGAAATGTTTCCTTAACCCGAAACCCGAATTATTATTTCTGGTTGACATGTAGTGGTCTTATTAATTGTCCAATATTTCCGTCACGCCCCCGTTTCTCAGGAACCGATTTCATCGGGCAATGGGACCCCCTTCCCACTGGCTGCCTCTCTGCGATAGTTTTTTTTCTGCTTGGAACTAAGTATATGACTTTCTGTACGGGATATACTCCACCGATTACCATTTCATGTCAAAATTGGAGGATCCCGGGACCCTTCTCCATAAGGGGGGGGGGGACCCCCTCCCCCTAAAAGGTGCACCTCCGCAACGGACTTGGACCTTATGGTACAGCGAGCACGCGCTAACCCCCCACCCCCAAACACACGGCTATTGAAGTATTACAATCGTAATATATACATTAAAATATATGTCTTCATTTACCTTTGTTAATGAAGAGCAGCCAGTCAACACGTAATCTTGTGGACATTTCACATCTACGTGCTGATCATCCTTTATCACAGAGAAAGCAGACCATTTGTTCACACAGGTCACAGTAGACGAATCCCCGGAGGTAGCCCTTCCTTGATAGTAGATCTGGTGTGTAACAATTTTATGATGAACGGTCGGGCGGTGAAATATCAGGGGAGAGGAGGTTGTGGGAATGTTCACCTGAGCTTAAAGAATAACAAATAAAAACCAGAACATTCATTGTCGTATATCAAAGATGCATTATATATAAAAATACAGAGCTGGCAGTTCTTGCTGTAAAAGTTGAAAATTAGATAATGAAAATGAACATTTTCGTTCTGAATGTTTCAAGTTTTGACAAGAAATGGACTAAATTGTCACGATATTAAACGAAGTCTCTTTTGCCAGTACAGCTGTACATCAATAGACAGTCCCTGATGAGTGGTGTCAATGTTAACGTTTAACATTAGTGATCTAATGACCTGCAGGGTTTATTATGGGTTTTTCATGTGCATAAGCCTCTAAATAACAATTCGTATCACATTTGAAGACATAAAAAAATTTGTAATTGCCAGATTTAGCCCTTGCATAAATGCATCTTTCAAGAAACAAATGTATATTCAACTTACATTTATCTTGCATTATTTTAGATCTTAATACAAAAATGTTGTTACGATGTTACGATAAATAGTAACACTGGGCATATTGCCTTTTGATCCTGTAGACTTGGTGTTAGATCACTTACCATGTATATCAGTGACATCAATGTTTACTTCTTTATATTGTTTACCAAGTGAGAATGTTTGGAAAACAACTGGCACTCCTTTATATTTTATAGTTATTTCATAATCACCATGGAAGCCTCGTACTAAAAACTGTTTACCAGAAGATAACCTCCTAGTGACATGTGTATTCCACTCCTTTAAGACAAGATCAAGGTATCCTTGACCGGCTGCGTTAATCTGTGATTTAAAAGCATAAAATATATTTCTTCTTTATTAACTTTTTGCGAAGCGAGGTAAAGTATGCTTTTCCAAGATTCAAAACTCCGCAACATGTAATAAAATAAAATAAAACCAAGTACGAACAATCCAAACCATTAAACCAAATTCGAAGTCCTAAAAAAACGGTATAGGCAAAATAGTGTAATAAGGCAAAATAGTGTAATCAGCATATGGACTGTTCACCGTGTGCAAAATACACGACAAACAGTGGTAACAGGTGTCCGGAAGAGTAAGCTTACGCTACGTTTAGACATTCCAGCTCGTAAACGAATGTCTGTTTTGCGGCTGTACGAAATACCGCAGGATAAAGTAAGCCGAAACTAAGTTATGTACGGAAGTTCAAATACGAACTACTTTTGTTTTTTCATTCCCGCCCCCCCCCCCCTGGGGTGTAGGGGGTGATACGAATATACCCTTCTTATGTCCTGCGTGTCGTAAAGGGCGACTAAAAGGATCCCTGTAATAGGGCAACGTGTGTGCCGTGCGTTGCGACCCGTGGCGGTGGAAAGTGGAATCCTGGTAATTGAGTGGGGATTTGGCTTCTAGCCCTTTCTCTACAACACATTACTTTGGCCCATGGTTCACCTACACGGGAGGTCAGAGTACACTGATCAATCGGCTTTGGTCGTTTTTGCTGTGTAGAATGTACGTTCTCCTAACTGTAATGCTTTGTTGTCTTTGCACTCAGCAGATCTACCGGTGGAGCAGCCGTGTGTTTGTCCCGAAATCTCCCCCCCCCCTCTTCCCTCTCTCTTTATAAGGTGATACCTTATACAGTTCTACATGATGACTGTAAGAAATCTCCTAATGATGTCTGATATACCTTACAAGTCATACCATTAGTGGTGGACATAATGAAATATAATTACTATCCAAGTCACTAGCTAGGTAGGCTGTTAGCGAAATCCCTTAACATTGTATTCACCGCGGCCACGGTTGATACAATCTGGTAGCAACCCCACCCAAGTTTAGTAAGTGTATGTCATTTAACCTGTTGTGGTAGTTAATGTAAAGTTTCAGACTAACCGTATAATCATTGCCACTGACAAGAGATGCCTTTTCTCCAATCCAATGTTTTGGTCCCCAGAATCCCCACAGAATAATGGCTTCAACAGACGGATGACTGAAGTAAACGCGATACAATGTTTCATACCAATCACGCCTCACATTTTCGTCAGCGGCAACAACATCCATTTCTGTTATCCATATAGGCAGGCCTGTTACTGCTAACTGATCCAACCGTTTCTAATAAAGACAGGTTGGTATTTAAAAATACGGATGTTTAGAGATTCAACTTTCCCAGTGTTGTAGTTTCTAGAAGATTCCTCGAACCCTCAAATGACGTTCATATTTCAAAATTGGTGACCTTAACCACCGTGCGGAGGAGTTCACCCAACCAAAATACAACACATCAAATTGCTGGCCGCGAAAGTACAAAAGTTTGTTAGCACTGTGAACTCCTGAAACGAGTAGTTGTATCAGGTGTACCAGAACAATAAAGCATATTCTGCCCTGTGTAAATTTTTCAATTAAAACTATATTGTAAAATAACAAGTTCACTGGGATTTTAGTGTTAGAAATCGCTCATTTACGGCTTTGATTGGAATTGCATGGCTTGTGATGCCTTCTTTGTGTGTCTAAGCGTAAGCAGTTTGACAATTAACACTGCGTATCAGTCGGAAAGGTTATCTCTGTTTACTTTTCACAACACGAAAGTTCTTCATATTGTGCATATTTGGTGTGATTCAATTATATGGCAATAAATACATGGTAAGTTTTGTTTACAGGCTAAAATTGATTGTAAAGCGACATAGTAAAAAATAAAACTGCAATATCTTACCAATGTCAGAGTTGGATCGGGTTCACGGTAATCATCAAAATGACTTTGTACGCCCAGGGCGTATATAGGTATATTAGCTTTTTTGAACTCACGAGCTTGGTCAACATAAGACTGAAACATACGTATCGAATTAAGGACATATTGATTATTTCTGATTGATATATATTATCATTGCCTGGAATGTGGCATTTCGCCCATTCTTCTTCGAATTCATATTATCTAGGGATCTTTACGTGTACGCCAATGTGTACACGAGAGCTTGGGCTTTCGTTCGATTGACTAGACGCCCTTTTCTTCCAGGAAATATTAATTTTGTTTGATTAATAGCTATATACTATTGCCCGAAATTAGGCGTGTTCGCCTATTCTAATTACGATGCCTGCTGTAAATGGATCTGTTATGTGTACCCCAATGTGTACACAGGAGCTCGGGTAATAGCCATTTTCTTTCAGGTCTTCCGTCCTGCACCACCGAAAAGGGGAGACTTGGGTGAATAAAACTCCAAAGAAACTCTTGCTAATAACCCTTCCACTTATTCGATATTTACATGTTTCAAAAGGAGGTATCGTCAACATGTATATATGATGTAGATATGGACGTTTAGCAACACTGTCGCTGAAACCAAGCCAACAGTGAGGCTGATGTCCCCCGCCGAAATCTATCAGATAGAATCAAAGTTATCTTATTCCAAAGCATCGACCAAGGAAATTGCTTATCTCTGCTTAACTTTAGCTCGATATGTTAATCATTGAACTCAGTCAAGACGAACATCTACATCAAGTTTAAACATTCTACCTCAATTAGAAGCAGAGTTGTTATGTTCCAAAGTATTGACCAATCAAAATCTTTATTGCTCCTTAGCCCAAGCAGACAATTCTCATCATCGCACATAGTCAAGGTATTGATGTAATGAAACTATACACCAAGTTTCATCACTCTCACTTAATTGGAACTAAAGTTATCGTGTCCCAAAGCATCAACCAATCAAATTGCTTATCTCTGCTTACCCTAAGCAGAAAATGCTCATCTTCGAACTCCATCAAGGCATTGACCTAATAAACACCTATACCAAGTTTGAACATTCTAGGTCAATTAGAAGGAGAGTTATTGTGTCCCAAAAAGTGTGACAGACAGACAGACGGACGGACAGACAGGCGGACAAACCCATTTTAATAGTCCCCTGCTTTCTTCGAAAGGCGGGCGACAATAACTTACCGACACACTGGTACCGTTAGCAACAATCTGATAATCATTTAGAAAGAGTTTAACGGTAGGATCTGTCTGATGTACAAGTTTGTATATTTTATGACTGTAGTAAGGGTCATTCATTTTATTTTCATAAAAATGTCCATGTAACATCTCATTATTCACATCCCAATTTTCAAGCCTAAAAAATAATTCATTGGCGTTTATTTTCTTGCCGTCAAATTCAAGTGAATTTTAATATTACACGCTGTAATTTGGGTTTTACTATAGAAACATTACCAGGGTAAATTAACATGACTTTGGATTTTAACTTCACACTGTTAACAAGGTCTTTTTTTAAATTACATATATTTAAATTTAAATATCATGTTTCAATTAAAGAACATAAAACATTCTTAATGCACATCTCGATTGTAAAGAGCAGGTATTGAGATCCCACATACTTCATGAATGCTATCAAACACTATTGTTTTCCGACTGTACTGTTGATGCCAATCAGTAAACGGTGATACCAACCTTTATGATACTATTAAGGTTGTCATTTTCATTGAATATATTTTCTACTAAGTGTATCAGGGTCGACATAAACCTAGCTCACAACCCGTTTGACGCGCCTACAACCCGCAAGAGATCGGGAGAAAATTTTTGCATGTGAAGGACCAAAAGTCTCTATCGCCAGTCTGCGATCTTCTACGGTGCCGAACACACGCAAGTGACGCGTAAGTCTCAGACACGGCTTTACTAAAATTCTCCCCGTAGACTGCCCGTAGTAGCACGTACGGCGGGTTGTGAGCTAGGCTTTACATGACCAAGTGTCCAATCAATCGCAATGGTCAGTGATTAAAAGAGCTGAGCGGGTCCCAATTGCTCAGACATCAAGTAGACATAAAGACAAAAATACAGGTATGGGCGGACTGTGAAGAATTTTTGTAGAAGGCAAAACGAAATTAATTTGTTTCACATTTTCTGCACTCAACTCATATATTAAACAGCAAACAAAACGTCAGTACGATTTCAAAATCAGAGAGGCACTTTAATCAAATCATTCTAGAAAATGACTTACTAAATGGATCAAGGCAATTTTTTGGGTACAGTTTGTTGACACATTAGTGATTAATTCATCACAATTCCATGACATTACGAGAAGGTTTAGAGCCTGTACACAGTCTATACATCAGTATCTGGTGTGTCCACCGCGAGTAGACCAGACAATTGATGAACGCCATTGGCACCTGGAACCACACTCTCAGAAAAGCCTGGCGCAATCCATCGGCTGTGTTTGGCCTCGGTACGACTTTATTAAGCCTCCTCTGAATTTCATCATAAAGATGTTCAATCGGGTTTTAGTCCGGACTAACGGCTGGCCAGTGCATAACGTTGACACCGTTCTGCTGCAGAAAGTCCCGAGTAACTCTGGCGGTGTGGGCACGGGCGTTGTCATGCTGGAAAACGTTTCGATGACGTGCGAAATGTGGTATGACGTGGGGTCTGAGAGCTTGATCGATGTAGCGCACTGCTGAACTCTCCCTGAACCAAGATTTTGGAACACCACAGGGCTCACTCTCTGGTTTAGGCCGATTCCACCCCAAACCATTATGCTTGGACCTCCCCATGAGTCTCGTTCCATGACACATTGGTCATAATAACGCTGGCCACGTCGACGCCATATTCTGGTCCTGCCATCTGCAGTTGATACACAATACCGACTCTCATCTATGAACAGAACATTTCTCCATTGCCTGTGTCGCCAGTTCTGGTGTTGATGGGCAAACTGTAGACGTTCACGTCGATGGCAAGGGGTAAGGATCGGTCCACGGTAAGGTCTACGGCAATGGATGTTCTCCTGGTGATCATCCGTGGTGTTAATGGTCTAAAATCGTTGCTGAAGCCTGTAGATGGTCTGAACATTGTCCTGGAAGTGATTCGCAACGGCTTGGGCAGTGTGGCCAGCGTCGCGTCTTCCAAGCGCCTGGTTCTTCTGATTAGAGGGAGAGGCCATGGTAACGTTTTAGAAGAAGGCATGGGCACTAGGCTCGTCCCTATGATGTTATAGTTATTGTGAATTATGTAGTTTCTTGTATTTCTCATATAAACAAGAAATTTGAAAAGCGTAAATCCCTGGTCCGTATGGATACCTTTAGACGCTTAAATTTTGTATCATAGCGTTACGAATCTGTGTGTATCCTATACACGAAAGTGTATATTTCATGTGATTTTAACCATGATAAAGACTGGAATTTAATCATTATTTTATACTTTTCCTGTCTGTCTGTTTGCATACTGGTTGATGTACGTGCTAAATCTAGGGAGGTGGGACCATGCAAATCTGTAAATGATTTTATTCTATGGTAAAGGGGTATAAACTTTCTGAAATGATACATTAGTGAAACCAAATATTGCTCTCGAGTCGCAGTCGAGCGACTTCACTTCCTCCGGGAAATTGTAGACTAGACACTTGACTAGTACTGATGGTGATCTTGGTAATAGAACTATGCGACGCATACGTACCGACGCGAAAATCTGCCAAAACTCTAGAACTCCATTGACCCAACGTATCACGTATACAGTAGGGATACGTAATACGGATGTGGAAAATATCGCTTGCCAAAAGTTTCTAATGACTATTATAAAAGTACACAACGTCAGGTCAGAATATTTAGGTCTATATTGAAGTGCTGCTATGACATAATAGTAATAGTTCACCATAGTCCTCGTTGGCTGCTGTGATTCACCATATTTCCCGACTTCCTTCAGTTATCGAGGGGAGGGGTGGGGTGGGGTGGGGGGGGGGTTGGATGGCTGAATTGTTAGCGAGCGCGCGCTGTATCATAAAGTCTGTCATTGAGTCGACTGGCGTGGTTTCGAATCCCCGGTTGTACGTGACAAGGAGTAGGGTCGCCTGTCCAACCTCGTGGGTTTTCTCCGGGTCCTCCGGTTTCCTCCCACTGCTAAAGACCCCTACGCGCAAGCGAATTATTGAAATAAAATTAAACCATGTGTTAGTCCCGAAATGACCTAGTTTGTGTCGAGTGGACGTTAAACCCCATTTCTCTCTCTCTCTCTCCTTCAGTTATCAATTGATTTTATATCTATCTATCTATATTATATATATATCTGTGACTGTCGTTTGTCTGTCTGTCTGTCTGTCTGTTCGGGGTTGGCGGCTACACTAGGTCTGCCCCGAGTCTGAAATTTGGGGTATAGGGGTAGCTCGGACCGAGGAGTAACATAGGCCAGGTGGCGTTAGTCTACCACTTCCGGTTTCGGAGTTATGACCCCCGAGCGAAGCCGGTCTGTTCGAGGTTTGCGGCTACACTAGGTCTGCCCCGAGTCTGAAATTTGGGGTATAGGGATAGCTCGGACCGGGGAGTAACATAGACCAGGTGGCGTTACTCTACCACTTCCGGTTTTGGAGTTAAGACCCCCGAGCGAAGCCGGGTATCTGTCTGTCTGTCTGTTCGGGGTTGGCGACTACACTAGGTCTGCCCCGAGTCTGAAATTTGGGGTATACGGGTACCTCGGACCGGAGAGTAACATAGGCCAGGTGGCGTTAGTCTACCACTTCCGGTTTCGGAGTTATGACCCCCGAGCGAAGCCGGTCTGTTCGGGGTTGGCGGCTACACTAGGTCTGCCCCAAGTCTGAAATTTGGGGTATAGGGGTAGCTCGGACCGAGGAGTAACATATACTAGGTGGCGTTAGTCTACCACTTCCGGTTTCGTAGTTATGACCCCCGAGCGAAGCCGGGTATCCTGCTAGTATTATATATTATATTATATTATATATATATATATACTAGCAGGATACCCTGCTAGTATCCTGTAATGTAAATGTAAATTCAGCCACCCTTGTTCGATTTTACACGAAAAAAGTAACAAAAATAGCCATGCAAAACGGGGTAATAGGGTGAAAGAGAGAATTGCAAAAATGTATTATGAAATCAGGGAAACAATTACTACAGTGCAAACCCGAATTCAGTTTAAAACGTATTTGTACAGTGTAGGTCAGAATTATTTAACCATCCTGGGCTGTTCGAGTTTTGTAGGTGAGCTGAATTTTATTACAGACTAAGCAATATGTTTGCTGTAGCCATAAACAAACATATAGACGTATAAATAGTATGCATTGTAAATTAAAATAATTACATAACAATAAAGTATAAACTGTTGCTAAACATGCCCACGGTGATTTATTGCCCAGCCTGTTCTCGGGGTTAATCGGAGACAAGCATTGAGAAACAGAAAGGCACACTTTACAATTATATCCACAGAAATATTATTTTAAAAAGCGTTAACGTCCATCGTACTTATATTGTGGTGGAACACTAATGTGCCATTTTTTTAACAGTTTGTCAACAGTGAATAGTTGAACTTTTATATAAATATCAATAACGTGACTTGCCGAAATAAACTTAATAATTTATTTAATCATAACATTTCACGCTTTTTGACATAAAAGTGTTTAGTTACAGATCATCTTATACTATTACATAAATATTTTTCGAATTATAAAAGTTTTATTAAAGGATACATAATACAAATAGTAACATAATATTAAACTTATAGGTCTATTAATTTATAATATACATACTTTCCCTTGGTGACATTGAGTACATAATGGATTCTGTGTTCTATTTCCTTTTCCAGTTCAACTTGCGACAAGGGGAGAACCCATTTTGGAACAAAACGATCAACACCCCAAAAAATGTTATGACCTCTGGTTGGTATTCTAAAAAAAAGATAAAGATTAAGGTCGGTCAACTAGGTTATGATTTCATGGTATTGTAAAAGTGGTTTCTTTTGGTTTAATATCTTGAATATAAGAGAAATCCAATATTGTCGTTTCTTAGTCATTTATTAAGTGAACATCATTTAATTATTAAAATTCAAATATTAATAACAATATAGCATAAGTACAATGCATAGGGTGGCGTAGCTTATAATATGTTACTGATGTCGAATTAATATAAAAAATATTAGATTTTTATTCTATAGTTAGTAACAAGCATTAATCGATAATAAAATATATCGTACTTTTTAGTCACTAATAGTTCGAATAATCTAAATAATAAACAAGTAATATATAGTACTTTTCGGTTTATTAAATATATATATTGTAAAATATTCGCAAGTAATTAAACAAGTAATAAATATATAAATTCTTACTTTTCCGTTTATTTTAGCGCGAACCAATTTTAATTATTTTTAGACACTAAATATCTATATTTGAAACATATTTAAATAAACAAGTATTTTGTCGATAAACTTATTTTTCCATTTATTAATTAATTAAATAAATAAAAATTATATATCTAAATAAAAATATTTGTGCACATTTCTTCAATATGCTCTGTTACAATACCCCTTGTCCGTGAAAAATTTGTATCCAAAATTCAAATTAAAATGTGGCTGAATGACAAAATCAAATTAACCTTAATTTAAACAAATATAGATACATATATTCACAAAATACAAAAAGATATTTATAGGAATACAAAATATGAAATGGTTTCAGCTAATTACAAAATCAGAAAATGAATGGGGAATCTGGTATTAGGAATAATTTTGAGGCAATATAACCGATGTGTAACCATCCATGCTCAAACAACAGCTATGTCATAAATGAATGAGATAGAATTTGTTTAAGTTTATAAGCCTGGTACAAAGAAAGTCGAAATTTGTGTCTTGGTCTAATAATATCACCTGTAATTTTATTGGTTATTTTAAAATTCGGCATATCAACAGTAAGGGTAGGGAACATTGAAAAATTAAGGTAAAAATTATTAATCTTATCCGGATGTATAATATCCCAATAGTTGCCACATAATGGTAAATTCAAAACAGTTAATTGTATACAGGAATATCCGGGTGTTACTTCGAATATTATGGATGCCTTATTATAGATAACAAAAAAAAATGAAATAAATAAGAATATAATAGGTATAGTTATGTGAGGCTTGATATACAAATGATGACAATAAGCACTGATACAGTATATCAGAATGAATAACTAAATATAGCGCAAAGCTAAAGATTAAGGGCAGACAGATAGGTTATGATTTCATGGTATAATGTATATGTCTGTTTCTTTTAAATTTTGATCAAAAGGAAAGTTAAAATTAAAGACATTCTTGGTTCTCTTTATGGATTTTAATATGTGAATTAAGTGGGCTTTGGTGGGGGTTTTTGTTATTTTTTTGTTAGAATTAAGTGAGTCAAGAGTTGTTTGGATTGTTGGAATTAATTGGGGCTGGGGATGTTTTTGTTATAACAATAGGTGAGGCTGAAATCATTTTGATTAATTTTAAAATTACATAAAATTAAATTCATGTTACTGCTTAAAATGATGATGGCTCTTAAGATTCCAATGATGCATCTTCGTGATTTGTGGTGGTCTTGCGTGTACGTCACCCCACCAAATAATAATTCATGTAACTGTCTAAAATGATAATGCCTCTTAAGATTCCAAAGCTGCACCTTCGTAATTAGCGGTGGTCTTGCATGTACGTCTTATCGAATTGAAGATTACTAACTCACCCCACCAAATAAACAAAGATGTTTAGATACGTGTAGATTACCTTTGTTCTACTCAATACATTAAAATTTGTTACTTCTGAACTGACCTGGGTTATTTCAAAAAATACTTAGAAATTCCCACACAATGATTTTATACCGACACAAACGCAATGGACGTACATTTTTGAAATTTCTAACTAGACGGAAACTATCCTATTATAGCTTCACTTTCTTCGGGTAGTTTGGCTTTGTCTATTTAATCCATCTGTACACCACATGTTCAAAGCCTACATTAAATATTTCACTGGGTTTTTTTTTCAGTTGAATTATAACCATGTGTTTTTGTAGAAAAACAGTAGCCCTCCCTTTTCAGTAAAATTATTGTCCACCGCCTTCGAAGGGGGACATCAGCCTCACTGTTGGCTTGTTTTATTGATGATGTAAATGTTTTATAGGGGCGTTGAAAGCGATATAAGTGTTCATTGTTTATGGTCTATACTATCTGCAGACCAGTAACACACACACACAAACATCGCGCTAAATTTGTCAGACCTGTTGTTTCACGCATATTTCAAACTATCAATTTTTCAAATTAAAATTCAAATATAATAGATCTATGTTTTTAAAATAGGGAATGTGAATGAATATGTTAATTCGCATATTTTGCTACACTTAAAGGCACGGTAAGTCAGATAGTTCACAGTTCACATAATATTTCATGTGTACTATATTAATGTAAAGACTGCTGTCTTATTGTCTTAAACTCTTGGAGTTTTAATCAAATGGTATTTTAAAAGAATATTTACCCATTTTGTTTCAGAACATCAAGTGCTTTGTCAGAATTGCCATAATCTGGACTTTCCTGTAAATTAAATATGTGGCTAAAAATGTGTTTTCAAGGCCATATTGTAGCCTCGATTGCCAAATATGGAGTGCTGAGCGGAATGCTTTATGTATCTAGATCCAATACGACAGCGCGCGTATAACGCTGTACTCATTTCAAAACATGGACACTATATTTCGATATATAGCTTATTATTACCATGTTCATTACATTATAATTTTCTGGTGGTATCCATTTTCAGTAATTACATGGATTGAAGATAAAAGAATATATAGCAAACAAAAACTAAAGTACAATCGATTTTACGAACCCTTGGCCCATGTGACCACTGCCAGAAATAGGTTGCCATGGTTGCATAGTTGAACATATAATAGAACAGCTCTCGAAAATGGGCGTATTTAGGTTCAATAATCAAATCCTCTGTAACTTCAGATCCGAATTTGAAATCATGTTTGGTCATTTTGATCTAAAAAGAAAATGTATTCTGGCAATTTTTTTAAATGTGGACAAAAAAAGGTATAAAATAAATATCAAGAGATAAATCAATTGTTTGAATGACATGTAGTAACTGAACAGGTCACAATGATATGGAAAACAATTACTGTTTATAACGATCGACGTTTCCACTGGGCTTCCCTTGTTCAAGCAATATATAAAATGTCTCTGTTGTTTATGACAATTTAAACGTCCAATAGATTATATACAGCGAGAACAAGACTATCGCAACAACCCTATTTGAATATAGTGTTAGTGTTTGATCAGATATATTAGCTCTTTTACATTCTGAAAGGTATCCAATCTGCATGAATCGCCTGGAGGAAACACTGAACCAGCAAAGAAAGACAAAAACTAAAGTTTAAGTAGAGGATTTAATGTGATTCTCTCGAGTTCAAAATTAGAGGTGGAAAATGAGTGAAACCATGTCCAGACAACTATGGCTGGTACAGGTCAATACGAAATCCTACAGTTTTATGTTCAAGTGGTCTATATAGCCAAAGTCAATATTTGGTGTATCCTCCACGTCTTGTCTGGATCACTTGTTGGACTGTCCGCATTGACCGAATAAGACGTTGGATCTGAGCCTGCGTTAGCCTGTTTCATTCCTGGTGTACGTAGTGTGTGATCCAAATCGTCACTGGTGGATCCCTCTGACGGGTTTTACAAACAGGAATGTCACTGATATGCCCAATTTGAGTCAAAGCTTCTGGTTGGCCAAGGTAGTGTAGCAACGACCTCATGGCACAGGAATTTAACAACGGCACATTCATGATGAGTTGTAGCGTTGCCCATAATGATTAAATGAAAGGTAATCCCACGCCATGACAGAGCCACCCAATTGATAATCTGCTTTATGATGCTCTACCACGCGTCATGGACAGGAGAAAGCGACATGAGTATTTTGTCTGTACAGCTGTCAAGGGTTCTTTTACGTGCACGTAAATGTGTACACGGGTCTTCGGTCTTTAGTCCAATCCGAACGACTAGACAGCTGTCAAAGGGAAACAGGGACGGAAAATGGGGAATAAAAAAGTTAAAACATAAAACGTTTCTTGTACCGGGTGACACAAAAAAAGCGTTCACCAACTAAACTTGAATAACGAAGAAGGGTCGTCAGGGACATCCAGTGGTTCCAGCAGGATGGTGCCACCCCACCCCCTACACCTCAAATGAATCATTGGCATGGCTACAGCAGCGTTTCCCTGACCGACTGATTAGCCGCAGGTGTGACCCGGAGTGGTCTTCGCATTCACCGGACTTGAACGTCCCAGATTTGTATCTGTGGGAATACCTTAAGGACAGGGTGTATGGCAACAACCCCCAGACTATCCCTGATCTGAAGGCAGCAATCACAGCAGCAATAAAAGCGATCCCAAGGGAAGAATGTGGGAGGGTCATCGAGGATTTTGCCCGCCGGATCCAATTGTGCTACATAGACTTAACCTAATGTAGCTGAATTTTTGTGTTAATCTAAATAAAATTTTGGAAGTTATTCGATATTTATTGATGAACGTTTTTTTGTGTCACCCTGTATATAAGAATGTCACTTAAATTTGCTGTCATGAGAAAAGCGAACGTGTCACCATTCAACTGAAAAAAACAAGTTATAACAGGAGGTCTAGCTGATTGGCGTTTGCTATCGTCAATGCAAATAGAAAAGAACCCGCGGGGATAAGGAATCCGCTTATGTGAAAAAGCGAATTTTTTGCAGTAAAATTGATCATTTGTTCTTTTGCGATTGGCTGCTGCTGGCTCTGCTTTCACTTTTATCTGGACAGAGACATGTACCACAAGAAGCCCTTTTAATCGAATGAATGTATACAAACTGTATAGGATTTTAATTGTTAAATTTTGGAGTCATGAGAAAAGCGAATAAGTCATCTTCTTTCTTCAACAGAGTAAAAAAAGTTATAACATGAGGTCTAACTGATTGGCGTTTGCTATCGCCAATGCAGATAGAAAAGAACCCAGGGGAATTTGGAATCCGCTTTTGTGGAAAGCGAAGTTCTCGCAGTAAAATTGATAATTTGTTGTGTTGTGATTGGCTGCTGCTGGCTCTGTTTTCACTTTGATCTGGGCAAAGACATGTAACACAAGAAGCACTTTTAATTCAGAAAATATACAATTACACCAAATGTTTTTCGGTTTTTATGAAAAAGTAGCATGCGAACCCTACCATGCACCTGCAATCCGATTGCATATTCGTAATCTTTACAAAGGGGTCTTTAAGACAACCAAATGTGAGCTGTAAATCTTCACTAGAAAAGTACAAATAAGATATCTGAAACTCGAGTAAATTATTGATACAAATTTTGTTTCAAAAACTCATCGGTAACTCATGAAACTAAGATGCCCGTATCTCAGTCAATTTTCAAGCTACAGATCACAAATTTTGCACAGTTTCTAGTTTTTACATGTACAATAACATATAATTTTTCCAGATTTTTTCGAGGGGGTCGATGACCCTTTAACAAAAAATTCGAATTATGTTATTTGGATTTCGTGATGGGGAAAGATAATCGGGGGATCGGCTTGTATTCTAATTTCAGTAAGGATTAGTTTGGAGTATAAGTGTTTTATGTACAGGCATCATTAAACATGCATTATGCAAGAGCTAAATCTGCCTATTGTAGGGTCTTTCTTTAGGCCTGAAATGTTATCTAAATTATTAATTAAACATTAATTAACTTATCCAGTATGGAAGGGTATCGCTGCCAATATTAAATGCTCTGCTAAAATGCTTTTTTCTATTGATTTCGTGTAAAACGTACAATGTACAAAGTCTTACTACCGGTAATGATAACACCAAATTACCTCTAAACTTTGGTTTTTTGACTTTATCATTGCCGGTTTTTGGACTTTGTACATTGTACTTTTTACATACATGTAATAATAATCAATGGAAAAGACATTTTCGCAGAGCATTTAATATTGGCAGCGATACCCTTCCATAATCCAGACCATAATCAACTCTCGATGTCATCGCTAGCCTGCGATATTTACTGGATTGGAACCCGATCTGTTGCTTAACGCTCATTGATAATTAAATAAAAAATGGATAATCGAGACTATGTTTTTATTTATCCTACCGACTTTAGTAATGATGACCGGAGCTAGGCCTAAAATTCAATCGCTAAATTCTGGGTTCAGAGTGGATCAATTTGACTGACATTTTGAGCATGTTCCCTTTACATTATCCAGTTTTTAACTATTATAGTGAAAACCGCTCTTTATCTAATCTCCCATAATGTATCTCTAACTTTTTCAGACATAGTCAATGGACCATAATTCGACCAATGTCTGCCGGGTTATGTTTAAATTCGAAATGGCCTGAAATGCCATGAATACCAAATTTGATCATAATGTAGTTACAAAGATCATCGGCTTTTTATGTCATCGTCTATTTGAAATAATTTGCCAACAATATTGAGGAATCCCGTACATAAAGTAGAATACCAAGTATAAATCAGATGAAAAATATGAACGGAGAGCGCTGATAATAATATACTTATAAACGTATGAAAATGTTGACCTGGTGTTCCTCTGGATGAAACAAAAACGTTCGCCCGTATGTATCTGAGAGAGCCCCTAATATGTAAATATGTAAGTCTGAGGATGACATATCCTAAATGTTCCAATCAATTAAGTAGGCATATGAATATGAACATTACGTTGGTGGGTGTATGGTCAAATAATCATAATATATCATAAACCATGAACGAATACGAGCCTCATTTTAAGGCAAGCACTTCAATTTCAATATAAACTGGGCCTACTTGTTATTCTTTATTAGTCTGATATTTGATATGCTGTGGTTATGAATAGAATGTCGATCCCATTAAATACATAATATATCTAATAATATAATACAAACCCTAACATGGAAACAATCTGAATCAAATTCCTTACAGCAAATGCGTGCTCAGTATGTAAGAAATAATATTTAATCAGCGAAAGTGCTTGAAGACACTGCAGAAATATTAGTCATTCAGCGAACCTACAGGGTTTAAGAGATATAAATATTCCTTTATGAGGCCATTAAAGTAGTTCTTAATCTCTTACATGCCCTAAAACAAGACTTGTTGATCGTTAATGTGTTTTAAAAATAACAAATTATCAACATATTCTTCTATAATGTTTGACAAGAACACAGAACCCAAGGGATATGCTATTATTAAATAATGAGTAAATGATTGAAATACAATATAATATAAACAACCCACGTGTTTGTATTAACTTTTTATCACTTACTTCTATGTCGTACTCATGGGGGTCTGTATTAGCCGGTATGTTGAATCTAAAACAAAACTAATAAAATTAGGTCATTCTATTAGAACAGACTTGCATTGCTATGTCTTGCCTAAAGAAAAGGAAATAATATTAAGTGCACGAGATAGACAATGATATCAATTCCATTGTCCACGCGTAATGGATTGCGACGCGTAATGGGTTGCGTTTAATCAATTGCCCATGAGTAACGGGTTACTCTTAAACAGGCATTATGCAATTAAGCGCTAAATTTGCCTTTTTTGGGACGTTTTTCTAGCTTTCAATGTTTCATAAACCCTTATTTAGACATTTATTGACACCACAAGCCCATAATTACTGCATGACGTCACTCAAAGAGACTGTCGTTAAAATATCAAATATTATAATGTACAACTCTCTATTATACTGTAATAAAAGTCTTCTTTCGATTAAAATTAATACAAATGTAATCGCATCCACAGTCTGAAACCCGATAAAGGTAGCTTTTCATACCTTGGCTCAAACTAAAGTATATATTTGACAGACATTTTCAATAAATTCACTTTTCACTATATTTTTAGAACTATACTAGCCTCTTTAGAGGTATTTCCGAGTCTAAGGATAAGACATTCATGAAAATAAATTGGGGAGGTATCATTGTTTTAGAAACACATCAACAATCGATGCTAATACAATCTGGAAATATTGGATGACGCGATAAGTGTAGCAATTGTATAATTTAGATGTGGAATAATATATTTTTGATACAAGGTTAAACTGGTATTGCTTACGTAAAATTGATGTTACTTTTTCTGTATTTATCAATACGTTTGTTAGCGTTCTCCTTCCAGTTTGTTTCTTCGGGAATAAACGTTAGTGCTGCAGTATCGGCTAGAAATTCTATTCCTGGATCAGGCATTTGTATTTTCAACCCACCAGATATAAAATCTGAAAATAAAACAAGGACTGTTGAAGGTGGAGGTAGTATATAATAGTGTTAATGTAAAATACGCTACCGTTGCGTTTCTCCTAATTTGTTTGATATCTTTACTTTAATACATGTAATGTTACATCCATTTATAATTAATATCATTAATTGCACATTTTTTCAGAAACTTTACATGCGCTGCAATATCACCTAGAATAAATACCTTAGTCAAATACAAATATACAGTGTAATATGACCTAGATTGAACACAGCAGCACATGTCAAATACAAATATATTTATCTAAAACATAATTGGTTTCTCCCCAAAATGGGTATACAAATTTTAATTCATCATTTGAATCTATTTCAAAACTCCCAAATGTCAACGTGAGTGGCAACGTAATTTAGGACGCCACAAAAAAATTAATAAACCGAATATCAAGATGAATATAGTGGGAACCTGGCACATGACATTTCTTTCATAGATCAACCAACTCAAAGAGTCATTTAAAATTGGATTTTTATTTCAATGGGCAGGAGCGTTACAAACGTTTCTATACGACAAAATTACTCTATGGCATTTGCAATCAGGTCTTTAACATAATATATTCCAAGTTTCTATCTGGCACATTTTAGTTAACAGTAATTGAATTGTTGTTATAGACTGTGCATGATACCAATCTAGATGCTGTTTTATCTACGACTTGACTCGCCTCTGTCAGGGGTCTTCATATAACCTTCCAGCTTCACCCAACCTCTACCTGGATGGACTTTATGATCTCTTACAAAATCAGGATAAAACACCAAATCTGAAATACATGCGTACGTATTGATAAAAATTCCTCATGGATGACCTTAGACTTGCAATATATAAGACCAATTTAAGGCCTGCTTTCCATGGACGCGTTTTCCATGTATACAGAAATTTCGCTGAAAAGTTTGTGGAATCCCACGAAAATGACATCATAAGTGGGGATTTCTCTGTGCAGCATCTAGCCCGACATGGTTAACGATCACTTGACGCCCAAGAAATCTGCCATTTACAAGCTGAATTTGAATGACTTAGTAGAAGAGAACCCATGCTTATACGCCAGAAAGTTAACATCCGGTAGGGCACGTGTGCGCACACCTGACACGAGAAACTCTCTTTTTCGCGCCATTTTCTCTCGCGCGGACATACTTGCATTAGACCTACTTTTTCACCGGCGGAAAGCGTACATTCAGCTGGTTTTCTAACACTCACAAGTACATGTGGTAATATTATTTTTAAATGCAATGATTGTGTCCATCAATTTTATATATGAGATAGAATCGGTTAAACACGGTTCATCCATTACAAAAGTTTGAAGAATCGGGTAATGACTAAAAAGGGAAAGTAAAGAGCAATAATAACTACAAAGACTATTTTCAGCTACTGATAATTCCTGTGATGACGAAGGGTTTATGTTTTACTACAATCCATCCAACAATAAAAATTGCGCGAATTAAAAAAAGAAATTCGTAAAAAGTAATATTTGACATGAGCAACAATAACGCAAATTAAAAAAGGACATTTGTAAAAAGGTAATATTTGACAACTCAAATAAATGAAAAAGAGCGGATGTTTCTGCTTCTGATATAATACAACAATCTCTTTGTGTACTTAAATAAATGCAAGAGAGTAGATGTTTCTGCTTCTGCTATAACAATAATCTCTATAGGTAGACATACTGTTAAAGCAGTGATTCTCAACCAGTGTGCCGCCAGATCTTCCTAAGTGCGCCGCGAAATTTTGAACGGCCCATGAAGAAAATGCGAAAAACCACGTGATCCCAATTGAGTATTTACAGGTGTCTACTGAAGTTCATAGTTGTGTATTTCTTTATTTAGTTTGAGTCATTCTATGTGTCTATGACTAGTCTCTGTCTATGGTTGTATACCGTCTGTCTTACCATGTTTTTATTTTGCAAAATTCAAATATTTTTTCATATATGTTTATATAGCCGGGTGTGCTGCTATTTTTTCATGTGTTCCAAGCTGTGCCATCAGAAAGTGAAAGTACCCGTTATACGTTTTTCACGGTTTTTCTCTGACATTTTTGTTCCGATTCATCAGCTGTGGGTTCTGTGTGTGTACTTATGTTTGTGTACGAGGTGATAAGATGGGGTGTAATTCGTTTTAGCTTGTGAAATATAGGTTTATATTATATTCTTGTTTACAGCAAACAGTTTGCTTCGGCAAAACTATTCATAACTTGCCAACCGCGAGGCTGATATCACTAGCCTCTATCCTCAAATAAATAGGTGACACTCATTAATTACTTGCAAATTTGTCTTTTTATAAAGCGTCAAGAAATCAAATTGTTTATCACTCGCGCTTTGGAAGGGTATTGACATATACACTGTAAAAAATATCCATTTTTTATGTGGCCGAATTCCATAGGTTAACCCCTTTTTTTTGTTAATCGATGGCTTTTTTTTGGAGAAATTGTGTTAAAAGTGTGAATTATTTCTTCAAATTACGTGTTTTATGTAATTCTATTGAATATTCAGTATTAAACAGACCGTGAAATTTAGGGATAAAATGTTTTATTCCCTTCTATAATGGACTTAATTCTGTTATTTTACGGAATAAACGGTGGAATGACCAGGAATTTCCGTGAAATTTAGGGATAACATGTTTTATTCCATTCTATAATGAATTTAATTCTGTTATTTTACGGGATAATGACTAGGAATTTACGGATTATTTCGGTTTGCAAATGCAACGATAAGTAATCTATACATATATAATCATTCCTAATAATTATCATGTTGTAATATTATTTTCAATTTATTAACCATAATATACTATTCAAAAAAAGTAGGGGATATTTGATTTTCAAATGTTATTAAAGTCACCTAATGAAACTGACGAAGAAACAAATGACAAAATGAAATGAAGTTCACATTCATCGATTTATTCCAAATGATCGTTAGACTAAGTAAGGCACAGGCTGACCATTATAAGGGTAAAATGATACCCGGGGTCAAACAGCAAAGTTACCACATCATCACAACCAAGTCAGTAACGGGTAAATCCTCCTCTGTTTGCCAAACAAGCATTGATCCGACGTGGCATACTCCTAATGAGACGTCTAAGGTCATTTTGGTCAGGACCAATTTGTTGACGTTGATGTAACCTCTGTCCAAGCATGTCCCAGACATGCTCGATGGGGGAGAGGTCGGGACTCAGTGCTGGCCAAGGTAATGTGGTGATGTTCTGTTGTTGGAGGTAACCTGTAACGATCCTGGCCCTGTGACATCTTGCGTTGTCATCCTGGAAGATGAAACGGTGGCCATGACGTCGCGCGAACGGCACAACATGGACTGCCAAGATGTTGTCGAGGTAGTACTGGCCTGTAACACGCCCTGCAACAACATGTAAAGCCGTTCTTCCAGCAACAGTGATGCCTCCCCACACCATAACAGAACCACCCCCAAATCGATCATGTCTGATGACGTTAACGTCTTGGAAGCGCTCGTTTCGACGACGCCACACCCTCCTACGTCTGTCCAAAAAATCAACAGTGAACCTTGACTCATCTGAAAACATCACATTGCTCCAGCGTCGATTATCCCAGTGTTGACGATCCCTACACCAACGACGTCTTGCCTGAATGTGATGATCTCTCAAACAAGGGATCACGCGAGGACGTCGGGCGCGAAGGTGACCCCTATGCAGTCGATTCCGAATCGTCTGGCCACTCACTCTCACACCAGTGTCTGTTTGAAGACGAGCGCTGATCTGATTTGCTGTGATGACACGATTTCTCAAGGCCAAGGTACGGATAAATCGAGTTGTCGCCCTTGGTCGACCTGAGCGTGGTCTGTCCTGTACAGATTGTGTATCACGGTATCTGGACCATAGCCTGCTTATGACAGACTGAGAAACATTCATCGTCCGCGCCACAACCGCCTGTGTTGTGCCGATCTGTAGCATGCCAAGGGCACGTAACCTTTCATTTTGGGTAAGCCGACGCATATCAAAATTTGTTTTCTGGTCACTAAAGCAATTAAACTGATGTTTCCACCCTGGAATTCAATGCCACAATGACTGTAACATTCAAAGTCAGAGTCGTGCAAATCTTGGGTTGGACCCCCATGATGATCCCAAGCATCACCTGCATTCCATGCGGTAGCTATTGGTGCGTTTGGGCGTCACATGTAACTGGAAATGTTTCTTCTGTTAGGTTCTATAGTGACTTTTTTCGTAGTCATTTGCATATTTTAGTATTATGCCCCCAAAATCAAATATCCCCTACTTTTTTTTAATAGTATATGAAGAATCATATTTTGTAAATTTTGGTATATTACATTTCATGTACATGTATATCTAATTTCCATTATTTATAAGATCTATAAAGTGTATTGTTATTCATCATACGTTATTCAGATTGTAAGTATTTTCATAAATGTATAAAAAATATGTTTTAACGTTCCGTGTGTATACATGTAGGCTGTATTATCTGGTAACCAAGCACGTTTAAATCCGGATAGTATAACCGTTTGGCCAGTGTAAGCCGGTTTGTCACTATGGCAGAGTTTACATACCTGCAAATCGGTAGTACCACAAGCTTACATCTGAAAGCCTCTAACCGATCCAATCACTGACGAGTATCGGTTTGTGATACGTTACGCTCGTCTCTCGATCAGGGTATTCCGTACTCTCTTATATTAGAGGAAAGGGGATGCGTATAAAGATTGTCTGCGATATCACTTCCGTGGAAGCGGACGATAAATAAAGCTATTTTACACACGCGTATAGAGTCAATTGTTAATTCAATGAAATTTTTATCACTTTCATGCCCAGGAAACAAAAATTACTAGGATTTTGTTTTTTCTGTATTTGAAAATGGAATTTATGTTAATTGAAGCAATTTCTGAAAATTACAGGATAAACAAATACGGATAAAATTTTCCTGGTAATTTTTGTTTCCGGAATTTTTTTACGTTTTTTCACGAATTTTTTGTTACCGTGTAGACAGCTGTTTTGCTCAACCAGAACATACTCCGTCAATGCATTTGAACACTACCTCAATGAGAAACGGAATGATTGTGTTCATAAAGATGTGAAAACAGAAAAGCGGACAGATGCTTAGCCAAATTAAATTGCTTATCTGCTTAACGTATCTTGACAGGAACGTGTTCATCGAACTCCGCCAAGACATTCACCTAGCTAATTAACATCTACACCAAGTTGTGTCCAAAAAGGTGTGACAGACAGAAGAGAAAAGGTCCATATTATATTACCTAGTTTAGATAAATTCTCTACTTTCAATATAAGTTATAGTTTATTTCGATCAGCTAAAGTCATGCCATTATTATATATTTTTAAGTTAATGTTAATAAGTTATGGTTAATATGTGTATAATAAAGGAAGACAAGACCAAACAAATATAAACTCAATATTATTGCAATCTGTAATAATCAAAACTAGCGGTGTTTATTTTGATAGAATTCAAGGACACTCAAAATTGACCAGCAGTAAAATCCATTAATTACTTCCAAATATTCTTTTACGTGCACGCCAAAGTGTACAAGGCACCTAGGTTTTTGTCCTATCCAAATGACTAGACGTTGTTTCTCGCCTGGCCCTACATCCAATACCACTGGCACGGCAAAACCAAACTGGGAATCCTTAAATGAAGTTCCTTTGTCAACACTGATCCTCACCTGGGTGAGACAGTAGCAACCGTTTAGAAAAATAATGATGGTATGACTGGGCGATCTGATTAAACTATAACTATCGTTTAAAATGTAAATAGAGGATTAATCCTCTCTTCTTTTCATGAATTATTAATTATAGTTGGTAACAATAGCTACAATAACTTTATTTGCGTTACTTGCCGATTCTTCAAATCTTTATTACGGATCAAGTGTGTTTAACCATTTCTATCACATATGTAAAATTGGTGGACACCAATATAATATTTTAATTAAAGCAATTGGAAAATACAATATTTTATAAAGGAATAATAAAATCTCGATATGTTGACAGCTTAGCTTAAATTCAATGAAGGAACTTACTGTCATTGACACGAAAACTGCAGGTAACCCTAAATTCCTGAAAAAGTTTACCAGGAATACTGTTTAATTGTTTAACATGCCATATTACATGGTACCGGGCATTACGTTTCAACTTAACCGATTGACCTGGACCTTGGTAATAATGTTGCCTGAAACGACGAAAATTTGAAATATTTTAAGTTTCAATACTGTGTTCTCAAACTACGTACGGATCTTTGTGAAGGTGCCCCAAGTTTACATCAAACGATCTATATGGTATAATACAGGATCTACCCCTTGCGTATTTACTTTTTGTTCGAGTGCGCCATAAAGAGGTTATTATGTTTGATCGCAGATTCCCAAATACGTCTACTCACAGCATTAAAAAAGATCAATATGGTATAATACCGGTGTTACCCTTGTGTATTTAATGCTTAGGGGTTTTAAACATGGTTATATGATTATATTACGCGATTATATGTGCCCTTTTCGGATCTTACGTTCTATAAAGCAGGAATAAAAACACCTTGCCTCAACCATGCCGCAACGGTTTGCACTTGGATAGCAGCAGGTACAATCTGGTAAACCAAATGCATGCGATCTAATCTACAAGCATCACTGATCAACTTTGGGCCGCAAAATGGACCTGGAATTATGGGGACAACACCTAAGTTATTCATAACAAAACACAACACAAGGTATTTAATATGGATATAACTACTTCGCTGGGTATGTCTCTATTAAGTTGTAAATAGGTATATATTATCGTTATTACGACCAAGTTCTATTTATCTGTTACTAGCAGGATACCCGGCTTCGCTCGGGGATCATAACTCCGAAACTGGAAGTGGTAGACTAACGCCACCTGGCCTATGTTACTCCCCGGTCCGAGCTACCCCTATACCCCAAATTTCAGACTCGGGGCAGACCTAGTGTAGCCGCCAACCCCGAACAGACCGGCTTCGCTCGGGGGTCATTACTCCGAAACCGGAAGTGGTAGACTAACGCCACCTGGCCTATGTTACTCTCCATTCCGAGCTACCCCTATACCTCAAATTTCAGACTCGGGACAGACCTAGTATAGCCGCCAACCCCGAACAGACAGACTTCGCTCGGGGGTCATAACTCCGAAACCGGAAGTGGTAGACTAACGCCACCTAGCCTATGTTACTCCCCGGTCCGTGCTACCCCTATACCCCAAATTTCGGACTCGGGGCAGACCTAGTGTAGCCGCCAACCCCGAACAGACCGGCTTCACTCGGGGGTCATAACTCCGAAACCGGAAGTGGTAGACTAACGCCACCTGGCCTATGTTACTCCCCGGTCCGAGCTACCCCTATACCCCAAATTTCAGACTCGGGGCAGATGTAGCCGCCAACCCCGAACAGACTTCGCTTGGGGGGTCATAACTCCGAAACCGGAAGTGGTAGACTAACGCCACCTGGCCTATGATACTCCTCGGTCCGAGCTACCCCTATATCCCAAATTTCAGACTCGGGGCAGACCTAGTGTAGCCGCCAACCCCGAACAGACAGACAGACAGACAGACAGACAAACGACAGTCACACATATATATATAGATAGATGAAGTTGTGATATTGTGAAACCCTATTAATGTTTGTCTGATTAAGTTGTGATATTGTGAAACCCAATCAATGTTGGTCTCTGATCTTTAGTATCATCACCGTTACTGTCAACATCTCCTAGGTACTGATTATCTACCACTATTTGTCTTATTTTTGTCATTATGTTTGCTTTTAATTATTTTAATGATTTTTCCTTTTTTATTAATAAGTTTAGTGTAGGGCCATACTATATACCGGAAAACTACCGGAAAACACCATGTTATACTGAATACCGGAAAACACCGGAAAATACCGGAAAACACACTAAATACCGGAAAACACCCTATATAGGTAACCCGGAGAAGGGCTATACTATAAATCGGAAACTAACCCTAACCTTAACCCAGGCACACAGAGGACCAGGCTCCCGGTTACCTATTTATGGTGCCAGTCTCCGGGTTACCTATTTAGGGTATTTTCCGGTATTTAGTGTGTTGTCCGGTATTTAGTGTTTTTCCGGTGTTCAGTATAAAATGGCGTTTTCCTGTTGTTTTCCGGTATATAGTATTGCCGTTTAGTGTAAGCCAAAATATGTATACATAGGGTGACTAGATTGATATTTATCGGGGAGTTGGAATAGACTAGTGGTCTAGAGTGCAACGCTTCGTCCTCTGGCTTGCGGTTGTGGTTTCGATCCCTGGTGGGCGTATGTGACGCCTTCTCAACCTCTTGTGTTTACTTCGGGTACTCCGATTTCCTCCCACAAGAAAGACCCCTGCGCGTGCGCTAAGATAATAACAAAAATGAAAAATAAGACTTTTCTGTGATATCACCTTAAACGAAGCGGACGTTAAACACTAAGAACAACAACAAGGATATTTATCATTAACTTGAAAACGTAACCTGTATGTGTTATGAAACGTCGTTATATCCATATATTCCTTGTGTTGTGTTTTGTTATAAATAGTTAACGTGCTTCTAGGTGTCATTTAAAGAATTAAAGAATTAACACCTACCTTGACCAAATTCCAGGTGCTGCATTGCGGAAATATGAAAGATTCATATAAGATATCTAACAAATGAACGTTTAACATTTCTTATTAACACCAGGGAAACCCACACTTACCTGTCGGTTACTTTAATAGCACGACTACCGTTGACTTTATCATTGTTTACGGATGTCATGGTACAACCCCCATCACATTGCCAGAATTGATGTGGATTGGATGCTTCGAAATCTCCATCTTTGAAAATATTCTGAGTCTGCACATATCCTACGAGCAGAATAAACCAGCTAAGACATGTAAGACGGTCTTGCATTGTACGAATAAATACAACAACTAAAAACACATTTAACTACAGAACCGTTATCAGTGGACGTAGTTAATCTTATCGATTCGTCTTATCAAATATTATCGAAATCTACAGTAAGGGAAATTAAAATGTGATTTTCGCCAGTTTTTAAGGCTGGCAAGAGTATGCGTTGACACGAGCAAATACTTTCAGGTCTAAGTTCAATAATAATTCTAGCTTTAAAGACGAAGGTCAAACACCCGTTAAGCAAAATTTGTTTATAGTTCAATTCGACGCGGATTATAGAAATTTTAAATCGTATTGACTGTCAGTTGTTGGTAGAATTATATTCTGATTTGATTATCTTGTAAGAGACTATTGGTGCGTTATACTGGTTAATACAACACTGAATCTAATATATTCACATTTTGTCATAAGACTGTAATATATTATGTGTCTATGGCTCGTCTTCATTAGCCCAGTCGGAACAGAACATTTGGACGTTAAACCCCATTTCAGTTCATTTCGATTACCTGTGTTTTCAGTCGTACTCTTTCTACTATTCTTCGTTTGATTTTTAATTTTCTAATATCATCATTGAACCACGTTGTATTCGATGTAATATACTAAGCAGCAAAAGAAACGTCGGGTTGGTATGTTACTCTGAATAGACGTATTGCATAAAACGTGCCAAATGTTTTTATTGTATATTTGTGACCACATCTTCAACTTTACCTGAGCAATAAGGCTCCTTCCCAAACACAGAATTGAACCCAGGATATTTTCTTTAAAACGCATCCTGACTTCTGAGATGGTAATGTATTCTCCATGATTTTCATGTAACTCATGCTGCACGTGCTGTTCACCGGGACCAGTCCTATAAAATGCACCCCATACCTAGTTGAATCATTCACACTACAACGTCAGCAGCATGCCACGACTCACGACAGCTCAGAGGAACCAGGAGCTTGGAAGACTCGACGCTGGCCACACTGTCCAAGTCGTCGCCAATCACTTCCAGGTCAATGTTCGGACCATCTACAGGCTTCAGCAACGCGTTCGGGCCACCACCACGGATGATCGCCCCCGAACTGGTAGACCAAGGGTTACCAAAAGGCGACAAGACCGCCATGTTGTGCGACAGCACGTGCAGAATCCCTTCTCACAGGCATCTGGGACAGCACGTCAGACAGTGGTTACACACAGAAGACCCATCAGTACCGATACATTGTGCCGACATCTCACCAGAGAGAACATCCATTGCTGTAGACCTTACCGTGAACCGATTCTCACCCCTCGCCATCGACGTGAACGTCTACAGTTTGCCCAACAGCACCCAGAACTGACGACACAGGCAATGGAGAACTGTTCTGTTCACAGATGAGAGTCGGTATAACATATCAACTGCAGAAGGCAAGACCAGAATTATGACGTCGACGTGGCCAGCGTTATTTTGACCAATGTGTTATGGAACGAGGCTCATGGGGAGGTCCAAGCATAATGGTTTGGGTTGGAATCGACCTGAACCAGAGAGTCGGTCCTGTGGTGTTCCAAAATTTTGGTCCAGGGAGACGAGTTGGCATCACAGCAGTGCGCTACATCGATCAAGCTCTCGGATTCCACGTCATACTACATTTCGCACGTCATGGAAACAACGTTTCCAGCATGACAACGCCCGTGCCCACAACGCAAGAGTTACTCGGGACTTTCTACAGCAGAACGGTGTCAACGTTATGCACTTAAATCCGATTGAACATCTTTAGGGCGAAAATCAGAGGAGAGTTAATAACGTCGTACCGAGACCAAACAGCCGATGGATTGCGCCAGGCTTTTCTGGTAGTGTGGTTCTGGGTGCCAATGGCGCCATCAATCGTCTGGTCCACTCCATGTACAGACGCTGCGCTGCTGTTATTGACACTGGTGGTGGATACACCAGACACTGATGTATAGACTGTGTACAGACTCTAAACCTTTTTGTAATGTCTTGAATTAATCACTAATGTGTGAACATTCTGTTCACAAAAATTTCTTTGGTCAATTTAGTAAGTCGTTTTCTAGAATGATTTGATTAAAGTGCCTCTCTGATTTTGAAATCGTACTGGCGTTTTTTTTCTGTTTAGTATAGTTACTGTTCTGGTTTTCTGTGGTGATTGTGCATCCATTTTTGTCCAAAAATTATACTGTAAATGCCAGTGGGTGTTCTGACTGTGCCGTATGCCTTTGACATCGTATTGTTCAAGCTAGTCCAGACTTAATCCGAGAACAATGGTGTTAAAAAGTATAGTATTTTTTGATAATTAACTGAAGGAGAGAACATTTGATTATTACGGATCTAAAAGTGCACATGCACTCGGTGGTGCGGTTTTTGTCTAATAGACCCGAATCAGCAAGACAATCCTTATATCGAACGTGATCCATAGACAGCTTTCGTTAATTAAAGTAACTGTGCGTGATTTACATTTTTCAGAAAATGTCAAATTTTTGATAGGTTCATCCACGCTAATATGTTATGTACTCAATTACATTCAATTAAGAAAAAGATTTATAAATTATAAGGACTTAAAGTTTAACTTCACAGAATTGTAGATCGGCGTTGTTGACATATCCTGTCAAAAAAACCCAAAAAAAAACAAAAAATAAAAAAACAGAAGAGAGAAAAATAGAAAAAATAGTAAAGTTAACAATTTGTATAGTTCATTGGAATTTCAATACATCATATCTTTGTAACTTTCCAACGAAATAGAGCAATTTGGGGATATTTAGACTGAGTGATATGCCTACAAGGAGAGTCATCAAATTCCACAATTCTACAATAGTGTAGTTTGCAAAGGATTACTATGTCCCTCAAATCATGCTCAGAGGCTTGAAACAGGTATTTTTAATTCAAACGTGATGCTAAATGTTATATTATCCAGAATATTTACATCATGTTATAAATGTTTAAATTCGTACCAAGTCGAGACAGTAGAGCGTGATAAATAGAAGATTCTCTGAAAGGCGCCTGCCACATCGAAAATCTCTTTAGAAAATAACATTAAGCTGAGGCTTAGTATTATGACTTCAGGTTTTGTTTAGAGAGATTACCAACTTCAGGGGCAAATAACTCGTCTAAAACCAATTTTCTATAAGAAGATATTATATTGGATGTGAGAAACTGAATTATATTTGTTCTCTGGAATCATTATAGTTACTGACAAGACCGTTTCCAACACAAAAATAAAATGCCACCGTATTGTTTTTGGCGAAAGGGGTATTTTAAAAGCTTAGGCAGATTGAGGTGGGACATTGGTCCAATATTCGGTTAACCAGTTGCAATACATGGATTATTTTTTTTTTTTCAAAAAATGCTATTAGTGTTATTATAGACCCATCAATGACCACACGGTATTTCACATTCAGCAATTTATTCACTATGATAATCTACACAATATTAATCATAATTTAAAAATTGCCATTGGAGGTTAATGAAATACTGCGTCAAACTTTAAATTTTGCAGCACGTTACGTAAGCTACCACACCTGTCTGACTGGGGGATTTCACGGCTCCATTAAATGTCATACATTTCCCGTCTGAAAGTATAAAACATTTTACTATGCAGTTCTTTGGTGCACAGAGTTAATATAAACATCAAAGACGGAGGTTTTTCTTTCCTAAGCTATTTATTAGTTATTGGAGCAGTGCTTGCTTGTTTAGTTATTTCCCCCGAAAGTAGACGGAATTATGCGACCATTACCGAGACTCAAATGTTATTGGCCCAACTAAATAACCAGAATTTAATGCAGACTGAAGTTTGAAATATCTGCTAGTACAATTTTTTCGTGAGAATGGAGTAAGATGGCTCGTCTTAAATAAAATCCCACATTATATCGCAACAAAATCTTTAGCTGACCAAATATTACAAATTACCTTGTATAAAAGAGCCTGAAACGTCGCCATCTTCCGAAACACCATGACAACCAGTCATTGACCAACCAGTGTCACAGCTTACCACTGATGCGTCACCAATTTTATGTCCACTAACAAATGTCGACTTTTTAACCTGACATGTCAACGTCGGAGCTTTACAGCATATTGCAAAGCTGTTAATGCCTATAATTATAAATACATAACCACTCGTTGATTTGGCTTGAAATACCATCAAGTATTGCATTTGGATCCATGGTTTGGGGCGTGAAGATGGTGTTAAAGGACAATTATCTTAACATAGCGATGTTTGCTACAGTTGATCCATAACAAAGATTTTAAGATTTATGTTAAAACTATATTTGGAAGGTATTTAACCAGTGCTAGCACACAGTATTGGTGGAAACAGCCGTTGTCCTTTAATGTAGCTGTTTGGGATATAATGTAAGAGTTTAACGACATGGGAGACAATATTACAGCTTCAATTGTTTCCAACCATAGATAACATTACAAGATAAGGAAATGTCCTAAGTAACAAATTTCAATTTGGCTTCCACTTAAGCCACTTTATAATTTGATGCATTATTCCATAAAGTGTACTCGCTTTGCTAACCTGATACATTTAAAGGCTCGGTTCAATACCTAAATTGTGCCACTTTATAATTCGATGCATTATTTCATAAAGTGTACTCTTTTGATAACCTGTTATATACTATTCAAAAAAAGTAGGGGATATTTGATTTTTAAGTGTTATTAAAGTCACCTAATGAAACTGACGAAGAAACAAATGACAAAATGAAATGAAGTTCACATTCATCGATTTATTCCAAATGATCGTTAGACTAAGTAAGGCACAGACTGACCATTATAAGGGTAAAATGATACCCGGGGTCAAACAGCAAAGTTACCACAGCATCACAACCAAGTCAGTAACGGGTAAATCCTCCTCTGTTTGCCAAACAAGCATTGATCCGACGTGGCATACTCCTAATGAGACGTCTAAGGTCATTTTGGTCCAGATTGTCCCATTCCTGTTGCAACGCAGCAGCAAGTTCTTGGACATTGGCAGGACGTTGTTGACGTTGCCGTAACCTCTGTCCAAGCATGTCCCAGACATGCTCGATGGGGGAGAGGTCGAGATTCAGTGCTGGCCAAGGTAATGTGGTGATGTTCTGTTGTTGGAGGTAACCTGTAACGATCCCGGCCCTGTGACATCTTGCGTTGTCATCCTGGAAGATGAAACGGCGGCCATGACGTCGTGCGAACGGCACAACATGGACTGCCAAGATGTTGTCCCGGTAGTACTGGCCTGTAACACGCCCTGCAACAACATGTAAAGCCGTTCTTCCAGCAACAGTGATGCCTCCCTACACCATAACAGAACCACCCCCAAATCGATCATGTCTGATGACGTTAACGTCTTGGAAGCGCTCGTTTCGACGACGCCACACCCTCCTACGTCTGTCCAAAAAATCAACAGTGAACCTTGACTCATCTGAAAACATCACATTGCTCCAGCGTCGATTATCCCAGTGTTGACGATCCCTACACCAACGACGTCTTGCCTGAATGTGATGATCTCTCAAACAAGGGATCACGCGAGGACGTCGGGCGCGAAGGTGACCCCTATGCAGTCGATTCCGAATCGTCTGGCCACTCACTCTCACACCAGTGTCTGTTTGAAGACGAGCGCTGATCTGATTTGCTGTGATGACACGATTTCTCAAGGCCAAGGTACGGATAAATCGATCCTGGGCTTGAGTTGTCGCCCTTGGTCGACCTGAGCGTGGTCTGTCCTGTACAGATTGTGTATCACGGTATCTGGACCATAGCCTGCTTATGACAGACTGAGAAACATTCATCGTCCGCGCCACAACCGCCTGTGTTGTGCCGATCTGTAGCATGCCAAGGGCACGTAACCTTTCATTTTGGGTAAGCCGACGCATATCAAAATTTGTTTTCTGGTCACTAAAACAATTAAACTGATGTTTCCACCCTGGAATTCAATGCCACAATGACTGTATCATTCAAAGTCTGAGTCGTGCAAATCTTGGGTTGGACCCCCATGATGATCCCAAGCATCACCTGCATTCCATGCGGTAGCTATTGGTGCGTTTGGGCGTCACATGTAACTGGAAATGTTTCTTCTGTTAGGTTCTATAGTGACTTTTTTCGTAGTCATTTGCATATTTTAGTATTATGCCCCCAAAATCAAATATCCCCTACTTTTTTTTAATAGTATATTTAAAGGCCCGGTTCAATACTGAACTCCCAACACCTTACGCAATTAGTTGTGAACCAATTCAGAATCTGTCCAAATAGGATTTTCTAACATTGAATACTCTCTCCATTCTGCTTTCTGGGCATTTGTTGAAATCCACAGTCTTACAGAGAAAAATCCTAACGTTACATAATTTATGCGCAATATTAAACAAGAACATAATTATTTTCTAAAGAAATCGACATTTACGCAATAAACTTATAACAGATTTCAAAACGAAATCATACCCCCGAAATTCCCCTTGTTTTGGGCCATGCATGAATGCGTTGTTGAATAAAGGCCATCCATAATCCTTAAATAATTATGTGCAGCACAACCTGGAATAAAAATGGCATTCATTGGTTAAGGAAGAATGCCTGGAGATTTTAATAAATTATGGTCAAAAAATGGAAAGACATCATTGCAGTAAAGTTTATTTTGAAAAAAAAGACTTCCCGGGAAACGTCCAAGTATGTAACGCTTCAACTGATTTGCATTACAATGCTGAATTATGTCAAAGCGTAACTCCAGAAACAATGAACAGTGTAATTATCTGCGCATTAACCATTTGTAACATGTAAATAGTAATTATTGGCACTCGCTTTCATTTTCGTAAATCTTTTAAACCGTTTATCTCTGTTGGTCTACACCACATAAATCAGTTCAGTAAAAAAAAACCCGCGATAATTCATTTTTCTAGAATTATGTGGTATATAATCTGACTTCAGTAACCCTTACCGTACTTCATTAATTGTTCTGATTTACAAATTTAGAAGGTAAAGTAATTAATTCAAGATAACGTGATTTTTTTCATATTAATTTAATTTCCTTAATTACATATGAAAATGTTTAGCTTCGTGATAATATATTTTACTAGAATTAAATTATGTGGTATATAATCTAAACTTAATTATTTTTCATTGAGCTGTTTTAGCATTAAAATCCCATTGGGCTTTAAATCAGACAAAAAGATTAAAACAACTTTATAATTGCATTTACAGCTTCCCAATCCATCACACACGCCAGTAATTTAATCATTGCCACTCTAAATATATTGGATTTAAAAACATTGCAATCTTTGTAAGTAATTCAGTAAATTTCCAGTTCTATGACGATCCCTGTACATGAACGGGAGAGAAATGTTCTAAAATTACAAATGTCCATGACAAATTCTTATTAATATGAACTATCCCAAAAAGTGGTATCGTATATAAGCATACCATGCATCGTGTACAACACTTGGTAGTAACCGAAACGGTGTTTTTTTTACAGGACAAGGAGTAGTGTCTTCTGTCGATGCACCGTGTTCTTGGTTTTCCCCCATTGCGCTAATTATTCACCCGATTAGATTTTATTACATACTTCGAGAAGGTATTTGTTGAGTAATAAAACCTTCTAGTAGTTTATCGAGGTTCGGGTGCTTCCGGAGTCCAAAATGGCCGCTTTATATAAATGAGAATTTTGGGGATAACTAACCCGAACCCTAACCCTTTTTAAAAGACTGAACTTGGTCTAATTTAGTTTTTACTTCTCTTAAAAGGGTTATGGTTAGGGTTCGGGTTAGTATTCCCCTAAATACTCATTTGTATAAAGCGGCCATTTTGGTACGAGTTCTGGCTTGTTCTGGAATTTGTTGCTTCTAGTGGTGATAATATTTGTACCGTGCGGTAAGGACGGCCAGCCCTCGATAAACTACTAGAAGGTTTTATTACTCAACAAATACCTTCTCGAAGTATGTAATAAAATCTAATCGGGTGCATTATTAGCGCAAAAGTATTCCGGAATACTTATTATTACCGGAATGAACTAGCTTGTGTTGTTAATGTTAAAGTGTGTATGATGGGAGCGAATCTGACCGAAAGTGAATTTGGGTAGTATTAAAATGAAAAATACCACGAATCTAAGGCGCAAATTCTGAATATTGATTGGATTTATAACATGGTGGGGGAGGAGTGGGGGGGGGGCGTTGCGTGCCTATCCTCGTGGGATTGTCCCGGATCCTTCGGTGTAGATGTTAAACCCCCTCTCTCTCTCGTTTATAATATAACCATGTAGAAGTCGGTATAACAGAAAATCTGACCTGTTGCATACATATTATCGGGACAAGTAGTCTCTACTACGATATCATATTCTGGCGCTGACGGTTTTGATGAAGCTCTGTATTCACAGTGTAAACCACTTGCTTTACAGCATCTAGCAATTGCGTGAACAGGTGTACCTGAAAAATAAGAATTAATTTGCAAATTTCGAACGCATTTTCTATTTTGTTTGGGTGCATTCATTCACATTTGAACTTGCCATCTTCAAGATATAATTAGGGTAGATAGAATCTAAATAGTTATCCGAATCAAGATAACATAAGCTGCGTTCACACTGCATGTGCCTTCAATGCCAATTCCGGAGACCGATCTAAGGAATTCGGATTTGTTTTTCCCGGTTTAAAAGCGGTGCGTCACATTACAGTTTATTCGGATTGAATTCAGAATGAAAAGCGCCATACTGAATGCGCAGTGAAGGTCATTCATATTCAAGATGGATGCGCCAGACATTCGTATTGGTGATCTTGTCTTGCTTATGTTTAATTTCCTGAGGCAATCAAGGCTACATCAGCGACGCTGGGTCCTATATTTCGACACCTTGCCGTGCAGCGCCGGGCACGATTTCGTTGGCACCAAAATCAAATGCGAATGAGGATGATTACTCTTTTGGTCGCGTTTGCTATACATCAACACGTATGTACATGTACTTTGCTCTTGACTCTGTACTAGCGAAGCTACATTTCATAATTGAAATTTTATAAAATGGGGTTTAAACTTCCTACTGTTCTGGCCCGACTGGGCTTATAAAGACGGGCATAGACCATTTTCCCAGGACAGCGGCGCTACGGCCTACGCTTTTATCGAATTCCAACTATCAAGGATTTTTTACGTCCACGTCAATGTGTACACGGGAACTCTGTCTTTCGTCCCATCCGAACGACTAAACAGCTGTCCTTGTTAGACCTTCAGCCACTGAAAATCACGATGAACGTTTTCGGTCAACACCGGGAGCGAACCCTCGACCACCAGACTAGGGAGCCAGCTTCATACTCAATGAACAATCGTGGCTCCCATTTCATAATTCAAATCTTTTCAGCTCTAAACATACATAATGTAAAGCTTATCTGTCCTGCCCCCAAGGTCTAGACCGTGAATGGTCAGCTGTGATCTGAACACACCTATCTTTGTATTTGAAATGTGGTCGTATATTGTCATCGCCCCCGCCCGACGCGCTAGAGGCTAATGAATAATATCTGATTGAATTTAAATTTATGCACAGTGTTTAAGATCATGGATGAAGAATCAAATTGAATTTGAACGATTTACGATAATTACTGCCAGAGTTATGGCCCATGATATTAAATGTTAGTATAGGACAGAACTCGTAATCAGAATTTAGTGTGTTGTAAATGTTTGCATTACTAACAAAAGGACTTAGCTGCTGAGGGCGTATGTTTCGTTGTCTGACAACCTATTGTTAGCTAGTTATGTTAATGCAGCATTTGTTTCGGTGACGAGGGGCTGCAGCTATGTAAGCTACACCCCATCATGCGCGCAAAGTTATCGTTTCCTGTAAAACTGTTGATCTGAATCAAGTGTGTCACACTCAAATCTTGACTGCGAATAACACGATTCGGATTAATTGTTCCAAGTTGAATTCGGAAAAATATATGGATTCGTTAATTCAGATTCAATTCGGTTTTTATCGAATTGAGTGTGACGCCAAAGTCCGGAATAAGGCTTTATTCTGAATTCAATTCAGATTAAACCTCTAGTGTGAACGCAGCTATAGATTATCTTGTCTTTAATCTGGATTATGTCATACCCCCAAATTCAAACATCGAAACGAACCTGTATTACCACCGTCCCAGGCTCTACACGCTATTCCATGATCTGTTTCTATAGACGTTCCATCTCCACCCGCACTTAAATCCTTTTGAACATAAAAGATTACAAACAAATCACAAAACGCCATACAAACACAAGTAAACTAAACTGTACTAGTTATTGTGAAATGAAGTTACTAATACTAAAGGACAATATTGGTGTCAGTCAGTATCACATATGTGATAGAACTGGTTAAATACGTTCCAAATATAATTTTAATACAGAGATCATTGCTACGATAGATGCGTTGTGAAGCTTTCAAGAAAGGAAAGTGACGAACGGAAAAGGAAAACACGAGTTATACTTCTATATAACTGACTGAAGTGACGATTGATAACAGATAAACGGGCGAATTTCTGTTCACTAGTATTGGGCCTTTAAAAGGGGTTGGGGATATCTATTATTTAAAAATGTAAAAAACAATAATTTTCTTATATGTTTTACTGTTGCTACATTACTCCAACTAGGCTGTCGTCTTTGTCTGAGACCTCAACCTTCGGCGCAGTCCTCAATTTTGAGGGTCAGGATTACAATAGTTTCATTTGTTACCTATTATTGCAATTTATAACAAACTTGGCAGTTTCAAGCGTTTGTTCAATAACAAACAAAAATATTATGACATGAATTTTTAGTCAAATCGAATAAAACGCCGTTCTGGTAAGATAACGATATTAATTCGATATTTTTAGAAAGTTTTTGTACAAATTTGTGCATTTTATTACATATTTTGTTGGCATTCATTTTGGGTGTGATTGTGGATGGCGCCCTAGAATTGTATATGTCATTTGAGGTCTTAAGAGAACTACACAAAGACAGCTTGTCTTACACCCAGAACATTATAGTTGTATTTATTTGGAAATATTCGGAATGGTGCAAACAAACGTCCAACAAAAATTAGCCAGGAATATGTTACCTTCGTCATGGCAGAACATCCGGACATTACGTAACCTTGTGGACAGTAGGCGTCTACAAACATGTCATCACCAACTTGTGAGAACTGTGACCATTGATTAATGCAATGCATGGAAGCTGAATATCCAGAATTGGCCATACTTTTAAAATATTGTCCATAATTAACCACTTTGTGATTGTTGGAGGTCGAGGTCGGTTTATGATAAATCAGGGGGGATGCTGTTGTGGGTACGATGACATGGGCTGAAAAAAATGTGTAGTTTAGATGTTTAAAACAAATCAAAAAAGAAACGTCTAATATAAGGGCATTGTCGTATTATCCAACTATTCAACGCGACATTCTAGAAAACAGGTTCAATAGCATCTCAATAAGGGGATTTTACAGCCATGTTTTTATATGGTTATTTCGACCGAAGACAATCCACACAAATGATTTATTAACATAAGCCGTCTTCATTAGCCCAGTATAGGAGCAGAACAGTAGGACGTTAAACCATTTCATTTCTATTAACATAAGCAGCACCTAAACGCCTGGGTAATCTAGATAACTTTACTAACTCTTACACAGTTTATACATTAACCCAGTAAAAATACCCAATTCACACTGCCAATAACTTTTTAAAAGAGAAAATTTTAAAGCAACATGTCAAGGATAAGAATGTTATTTTTCTTGTATTTTAGAGACTGTTATCATACTAAAATCAAATGTCTTCTAATTGTAACGTGCTTATCACATTTATTTTTCAATAATCGACTAAACTGAAATTTATCGGATTTATTCTCCCAGTCTATAAAAAAAGGATGAAAGGGGTCACTGAAACGATATCGGGAAAACTCTCTTAATATGGGTGGAAATAATTGGTTATATCTTAATGTGCTTTTTAAATGGATATGTCACTGACGTACATAGAGCAATATGTTACTATTTGTATAGCCGATATTTTATACAACAATAGTTAAAGTAAATGAATGACACTTAAACAGGCATTATGCAAGAGCTAAATCTGTCTATTGAAGTTATTTCTTTGGGCCTTAAATTCTATATAAATTAACAATCAACTTCTGATGCCATCAGATGGCACTTATTTGAAGTAGATAAGAACAGTTCGGCCATTTAATTATTTAATTTAAAAATGGATAATCGAGACATTGTTTATTATCATAACAACGTTAGCAGAATGAAGTAATTTGTCGGAAATTTTCAACATATTCCCTTTTCATTGTCTATTTTTCTAACTATTATAGCGAGAACTGTCAGCTCTTTATCTAATCTTACATAATTCCCCTGTAAATTAATTAAAGAGGAATTATGCCAGCACTAAACCTGAATACTGCCTGCCGTTTTTCATGCTTTTTGTTATATAAATTATTATTGGGGATCACGGTGGTTAAGTGGGTAAGTTCATCCAGATTTTCCGGCGTGGTTCTCCCTTGTTAGTGAATCAGAACGGAGGGCCTAACAAGAACAACTATCTAGTCATTCGGATGGGACGAAAAACCGAGGTCCCGTGTACACATTGGCGTAAAAGATCCCTTGACAGTTGGAATTCGATATAAGAGTAGGCCGTAGTGCCGCTGTCCGGGAAAAATTTCCCACATCGCACACTGTATGGCGTATGCCCGTCTTCGTTAGCCCAGTTCGGAGCAGAACAGAAGGACGTTAAACAACATTTCATTTCATTATATAAATTATTATTTAGACATTAATTCACATGACAAGCCCATAACCAACCCACTAGAACATTGGATGGCTAAGATATTGAGCGGATTACACAATGCCATCTATAGCTTCGTTAAACGTCAATATGGATGCCACTCGAGACGGTAGATTGAAGGACTGAAAATCGAAACTTTATTATCACACTTGACAATCGAGACAATTGTTAATGCTATTGTTAATAACAAAAGTTATTATTAATACTTCAAACATTCATAACTTGGCTAGGGAAAATAGCAATATATTTATTTTTCAGCGGAATTCACGGCAGAATGAACTCTAGTTAATCTTTTAATGCAGATTATTTCTAATATGCATTTAATTTCATAATTATAAGTAGTCCATTGGCTATTTACACATATAAAATGGTACTTTATATGACCTTGTTCAGAAATATTCTAGTTTCAATTTGTATTTTGTTTTATTTCCATTATTACTTAAAGATACATTATGGGAGATTTTTATAGAGAGTTGGCCATTCTTGCTATAACAGTTCAAAAGTAGATGATGAAAGAAGAATATATTGAAAAATTCAGTCAAATTACTTTATTCTGAACATAATTATCATCGTTGTAATATTTGCCTAGAAATGGTAGCGAATTGTGTCTACACCTTCGCTGATCGTTTGATTGACAGGCGTTAACTCACCCTACATATCTCGATTATCAAGTAAAGTTTTCAATGGCATACGGAAACGCTTTACAGCGGCCTCGCTAAGTACGCTCTATCATTTAGCCACGATCTAACAGACGTATTTTCATCAGGTTACCCCTTATCTGATTTAATCAATTAGTAAAATCCTATCTAAATCCGAGCTGTAGCCGAGCCATCCGTGGGTCTACAGAGTTTATTTTGGTCTTGTTTAAATAAAGATCTAATTTATAATTTCTATAACATCTGAAGCATAAATTAAGACTTGCAATAATCAGATTTAGCTCTTGCATAATGCATGTTTAATAATTTAATATCATATTAAACCAGATTGTTCGGCTGAACCTTGTAGGCGAGCCAGCTTCTTGTCACGCACAAGCGTGGGATCGAAGACAATACTTGTTATATATATATATTATATATATTGTCACCCACTCACCAACCATCTCCTCCCACGCCATAATATCTGTAAAGAGGGGGTCGTTTGAAGCGACAATATCCCACCGCATTAACACGTGAACAAGCAAGACTATCCTGCCTCGTATACATTTGAAATACCTACTATGTATATCATTAACTACTACATCTAAATTGATATCATTCTTTGAAAGGGAAAACTTCTGGTAATGAACAGCAGATCCCTTATATTTGACAACCGCTTGGTAATCTCCATGGAAACCACGAACAGAAAAATGTTCATCAACTGAAGATATTTTTCTTGAGACTTGTGTAGTCCATTCCTTGTGCAGTAGATCTATGTAATGTTGCCCGGCTGCATTTATCTAGAAATTATGTGCAAAGTGTGAATTAGATTTCTTATCGCATGGCAAGCAACCAGGGGTCATACAATCGGTATCTGTCGAAATAAACACTTTAACGGTCATCTACCACTTCACCAATTGTCAGTGTACATTGTCTAAAAACGTATGTGCTCTAAAGAAGTTAACTGTTCAACTACTACTATCTATCCAGTATTGTTGCGTATGATTTTATATCAGTCGTAACAACATCGACAATTCAATTGGTTTTTAAATCTAAAGGGGAAATCCCAAATATATTTTTAGTTTATGAAACAGATTCTTTATGTATATAGCAGACATGTTTTCAAAGAAATACCAACATCCAGTGGAGTTGCATGAGCAAAACCAATTTCCTGGTATATTTTCTTTCTTGTTTTGTGTTGTTATTTTCGGCGAGAAATAGAATTTGCGGGTTATTGTTGTTGGCAAAGTTTACATACGTCACATAACCGGTTTCGTAATTACAGATACATGGGACCTTAAACATCAGGACAAATTTAATATGACAAAAGATAGAAGTTGGAATTCGCATCCATCGTACTGCACATGGAACTAAAACCACGTTAGACTGGAGGATGGAATAGATATCTTACTAAACAGGATATAACTTCATATTGTCAAACCTATACAGCGGGATATTGCAATTAATATTTATCGACTTACCCTGTAGTCATTTCCACTGACCAGGGCGGCATCTTCGCCAATCCAGTGCTTTGGTCCCCAGAAACCCCAAAAAATAATTCCTTCTATAGATGGATGGCTGAAATATATTCTGAGTACTCTATCATACCAGTCTTTTCTGACGTTTTCATCACGAGCTGTAACATCTAATTCTGTTATCCATAAAGGGTATCCAGTAGTTGCCATCTGATCTAGGCGTTTCTGAATTAGTTAATTATTTGATTTATTGATTTAATCTAACCGCATTTATGCTACTGTAAGGCAGTCAGACATATTTGATTTTAATTTAATTAACATTGGATCGAGGCCATGGTATTATCTAACCTATAGTTCTGGGTTGTTTTTTTTTAAATTTTCTAATGTACTTAATATCATTTCTCGATCCCTTTTTTGTTTAATGTAAACAAAAACGATTTTTTTATTGACCTTATGTCATAATCTCATTAAATTCATCCCAAATGTTTGCTCTTTTCTTGTCCTAGGTGAAGTGAAAAGTTGGATAACTTCCATGATTTGTCACTGAATGACACATCTGTAATGTGTAGTGTGAGGTTACATGTCTGTCACCCAAGTCAATTTTGTTTTTCACTGCTAGTCGTTTTATTTTAATAGTCCTACGCCAAGCCAACGGTGGGATCGTTGCTTTCCAGACAGCCTTGACCCAAAATCAATTTATCTTGTTATAAACGTCGAGAAATTAAAATCCTGAGCGCCGTTAATCTGAACAGAACATGTTCATTGTAACTTAGTAAAGGTATTTACGCAATATATACACAACGTTTCATCACTCTTATTCCATTAGAATAAACGTTATCGTGCCGGAAAGCATCAGCAAATCAGATTGCTTATATCTGCTTAGGAGACGAAGAAATATTTATCATCGAATATAGTCAAGGCATTCGCCTAATGAACATTTACATTTGATCATTCTATCTCAATAAGAAGCCGAGTTATTGTAAACTTCTCGAACAATCAGGTTGCTTAGTTTATCTTCCGAAGAAGATGCACATCATTGAATCCAATCAAGGAAGTCAATTAATGACAATTACATCAAGTTGATGATTTTACCCCAATTAGAAGCAGATTATGATAGACGGACAGACAAACCAAACCATTTCAACAAAAGCATAAATTTAATGCTCAGCACCGAACGTATATTTAAATACGTATATAATGTATTATAGTGATGGTTATCGAAGTTTTAAAAGAAATTAAACGTTTGAGCATCGGAGCTTATTTGATCAGCTCAAAATATATTTGATGTTATAAACCACATGACAGTTATGGTAGTCCTTTTTTGATTTAAACAATATTTTATTCATTAAATTTACAGAATTTATATAATAAATACCAGGATACGATAACAAGCTTTATCAGCTTATATAAAATCACTCCCTTAAAATGGATCTATAACAGAATTGCAACTGGCAATCATAAAATGAACACAAAAATACAAATATACAGCATAAAACATAATATGTGCAATTATGTGATAATTCGTTCGACTTGTTCAAGCATGTCTGGAAATAATACATTCTTTATTGGGCCGTCTGGGGGCTAATCCTTTAACATGGTTAACATAGACCTCCGAGACTGTAACTTAAATTTCTATATGAAAACTGTCGAAGTAAGTCAAGGTATTGATGTAAGGGGGCTACATTCAATGAGAAATAAAGTTTCCAAAGTCTCTACCAATCAAACTACTTATGGCTCATTTTCTGACTTTATCAAGGTATTTATGTAATGAAACTATAAACCAACTTTTATGACTCTCACTCGATTTGCAACTCGATTTGTTCCGAAGTTTTTACCAAACAATCTGACTTAGTCTAGGTATTGATGTAATGAAACTATCAACTATATATTTCACGACTCTCTTCCCGGTTAGAATTAAAGTTATCGTGTCCTAAAGCATCCACAAATCAAATTGTTTATCACTGAATATATTTTTTGGTATCCGGCTTCTAACTGATGCATCTCTAATTTCGTAATACGATTGATATGTTTAAAAAGTAAACATACATTGTGGCCAAAATTAATCTTGCAGTTTGTCGCCAAAAAATTGTGGCTTTAATATATTATATCTATTATTAGTTCAATTTATCGGCATACATTCTTTTTCCGATGTTTGAACAGCTAGCTATTGTTCAACGAAAAAATGTCTGATCAGGATTCGCTTGTACAATAGCAGATTATATGAACAGTAGCTGACTCTCACTAAAAGTTCCAGTTCCAACCGTCTAAAACATCATATTTAAGGCAAAAATTGGTCGCAGGTGTTAGCTTACCCCAAACATTAATTTAACCCTCTATCGCATGCAAATGATTGGCTCACTGGCAATTGTGTGCAATGTTTGAAGTATATATTCGCAAGCAGTTATACAGCGGTAATGCGAAAGCCTTCTTTTACCAGAAGACATGACCTTTAAGGTGACGTCTAATGTACTTTTACGCGAAGTCATATCCTAATGTTTACGGCTTTACTAATAATGCATTCTGTTTTTGTTGTTTCAATATAAGTTCGATGAGGTCATTTAGCTTAATGGTAAAAAAAGTGCATTCAGAATAAACAAACTGTTAAAAAAAATATCACGTGCTTTGTTTAGATCGAACAAATACAAGGTGACCCTGACAGAACTGCCCATTTTCACTCAGTTTACACCAAATACGAAATATGTTTTACCAAGATATATTTAAAACACCTCCATGTCTTTTTAAAACAATTTTAACTGTCCATTTTTACTCAGTTTACACCAAATATGAAATATGTTTTACACATATATTTAAAACACCTTCATGTCTTTTTTTAACAATTCAAAAACTTGTTTAAGAATTAAATTTATAGAAAATAAAATCGAGGCCTCATTAATTCGGTCTGATTAGAACCATATCACGGATCAGTTTGGTGTATATTGTGTATACACTCACAATGGCTGTCTTTTGGTTCGCTTATGCACACATTTCTTTCTAACAGTTAGTTTGAATTAATCTCGATAATATTTACCATAATAATTGTTGGATCTGGTGGTTCATAAAATGTAAAGTGACTCTGTATTCCTAATCCATAAATTGGTATGTTGGCGGCCTTAAATTCTCTGGCTTGATCTACATATGCCTAAAATATATAAATAAATAAATATTTCTTTCCACCAAAGTTAACCATTTACTGAAAACAAAGATGGTTAGGGCGTTATTGCCACAGATTAATCAACGCTTTAACCCAAACATCTTTCCGCACGCCTCCCATCAATTCTTTGTCACTGTTAGATGGGAAATAAATTTGACCTTGTTCATTTATTTTTAAAATATATAATTACTATCTTATCTTTTATCATCCATCAAACAAACTGCAATCTTACCGACGTGCTGGTGCCATTCACAACAATTTGATAATCATTAAGAAAAAGTTTAGGTGTAGGATCTGCTTGGTGAACTAGATTGTACATCTTATGACTATAGTAAGGATCGTTCATTTTATTTTCAAAAAAATGTCCATGTAGCATCTCATTATTCACATCCCAACCAGTCAACCTGTAACCACGATAAACAGATATATTAGGTCCAATTGACGTCACTTCCAACTTGTTATTGCGAAATTTAAAAAAAAAACCCAACAAAACCTTTGAGTTAACTTTATATAATGATCGTTTGGTTCTCTAATTCTTGCTCAAAACGATCCACTGGACCTCAATTAACTTAGATAGAACAAACGCCATATCGTTTTTAATTTCAAGGGCAAAAATAACTAAATTCCCATTATAAAGAGAAAGTCGTGTCGATTTATGTGTTTAATTAGAGAAAAGTCAAGTTAACCTCACTTTCTTCAAGAGAAGTCGGTCAGTATAGAAAATGGAATCTTATGCAAGGGTGCCTTACCATTATGGAGATTAAGCCGAATAAACTCTATCGATTTTCAGTGTCTCAAGTTTTAAACAGATTATCTTTTTCAAATGCGTTGCGGAAACATTGAGGTCACGTCGATTTTTAGCATTCCTTGACCTTCGTTCTGGGGTTAAGCTCTCTTTTCTGAAAACCTTGTGGGCGTAATAGAAGCCACAATTTTTGAAGACTTTTTTTTCAAATTAAAATTTTGTGTGCGGCATTGGAATCATTGGAGAACGAAACATGTTCATTTTCAATAGTATGCCATATTCGATTCAGCAGTTACGCACACTCTTTTGTAAATATTGGGAAACGTGATATAGCCTATATATTTTCAAGATTCAAGATGGTGCATCTCCTTTTTTTTCCTAAGCATCAATAGTTTTCTCCATTTTCAAAATAGACCAAAACGTTAGCCCCAGATATTATCTTTCATAACATTTGCAACCATTTGGCCGCTATATTGGTTTTTACAGCAAAAAAGCTTCAAATTGGTATTCAGTCACCTTCAATCAGATTTTTGCTAACTTTTTGTTTCGTTTTGAAGCTAGACAAAATGGCAACAATTCCCGGGGGTGAGGGTGCGATTTTTTAATTTCGATCTTGTTACTCCCGGTTCGACGTGTGGAGACTCGACTAACCTACTGTCGTATAACCTGATCATTCAATGGCCTTTGCATATGTAATGACCTTGCAATTACTATAATTTTGATAGTAACATTATCGGTGTTGAAATTTAACTTCCGGTTATATGGCGGCTTGGCAATGATGGTCCTTCGCGAGATCTGAAATGGCACTTTTAATGCCAGTACGTCATTAAGTATAATAAATATAACTTCGCGTTTCATTTACACCTGAAAATATCAAATGTCCCGGTGTTCTCTTTAATATTGCCGATAGCGTATAATATACAGTAATGCTACTGTCTGTGGTTAGAGTATTTACAAGGATTTACTAAGGCCAAATAAGGCCAAAGATCTGTGTAATACAAAATCATGCAATGTGTATGTCCATCTATTAATTATCATGTTATTTTAGTTGCATAATTTTAATTATCTAAGCCTTTATTTACGAATGTAGCGATTATAGCACATGGTTTATTGAACGATTATCTTACTGATCAACGCATGTAGATATAACGCTTTCGCATCTCTGTTCATTTGTTAATGTGGATGCTTGGCGGCGGGATGATTTACCCAATACTACCCAATACCATCTCAATATCACCACATACTACCAAATATTACAACATAATGATGCAAAATGAACATATTTGATTTTTTTCAAAAATAGAGAGTTATACCGCGGGAAATGTACTTCAAATGCGATACCGATGTCTGTCTGTTCCATTTGCCTCCCTATATCACCCAAAACAAGCAAATAATAACCCAATACTACCAAATATTTATCAAATACATACCAAAATTACGTTGTCTGTCTACAATTAGCTAATCGGCCGACATTTTCTAAATCGACAATTTTGCTCGAAAACAATAGTTTTCTCCATTTTCAAAATAGACCAAAACGTTAGCCCCAGATATTATCTTTCATAACATTTGCAACTATTTGGCCGCTATATTGGTTTTTACAGCAAAAAAGCTTCAAATTGGTATTCAGTCACCTTCAATCAGATTTTTGCTAACTTTTTGTTTCGTTTTGAAGCTAGACAAAATGGCAACAATTCCCGGGGGTGAGAATGCGATTTTTTAATTTCGATCTTGTTACTCCCGGTTCGACGTGTGGAGACTCGACTAACCTACTGTCGTATAACCTGATCATTCAATGGCCTTTGCATATGTAATGACCTTGCAATTACTATAATTTTGATAGTAACATTATCGGTGTTGAAATTTAACTTCCGGTTATATGGCGGCTTGGCAATGATGGTCCTTCGCGAGATCTGAAATGGCACTTTTAATGCCAGTACGTCATTAAGTATAATAAATATAACTTCGCGTTTCATTTACACCTGAAAATATCAAATGTCCCGGTGTTCTCTTTAATATTGCCGATAGCGTATAATATACAGTAATGCTACTGTCTGTGGTTAGAGTATTTACAAGGATTTACTAAGGCCAAATAAGGCCAAAGATCTGTGTAATACAAAATCATGCAATGTGTATGTCCATCTATTAATTATCATGTTATTTTAGTTGCATAATTTTAATTATCTAAGCCTTTATTTACGAATGTAGCGATTATAGCACATGGTTTATTGAACGATTATCTTACTGATCAACGCATGTAGATATAACGCTTTCGCATCTCTGTTCATTTGTTAATGTGGATGCTTGGCGGCGGGATGATTTACCCAATACTACCCAATACCATCTCAATATCACCACATACTACCAAATATTACAACATAATGATGCAAAATGAACATATTTGATTTTTTTCAAAAATAGAGAGTTATACCGCGGGAAATGTACTTCAAATGCGATACCGATGTCTGTCTGTTCCATTTGCCTCCCTATATCACCCAAAACAAGCAAATAATAACCCAATACTACCAAATATTTATCAAATACATACCAAAATTACGTTGTCTGTCTACAATTAGCTAATCGGCCGACATTTTCTAAATCGACAATTTTGCTCGAAAACAATAAAGCATACTTCGAGAATTTGGGGAAGTATTTATTCTGCTGCCATTTAATAAAATCGAAAATGTCTATTTAGTCTCTTTGTGTATGGCAGATGTAAAACGGATTCAAACCACATTACCAGGGGCGGATCCAGGGGGGGGGGGGTGCGTCCAATCCCCCACCCCCACCATCCTCAGCTACATAAAAAAATTGGCTATACTGAATTGGGAAACTGAATTGAGAAATGCAACACAAAAATGGGAACAAAATGGTGTAGTCAAGTTTAAAACAGTATGATTTGTTGATTTCATATTAAGTTTCAACACAAGCTTGCTTTGACATTTTACACAAATACACGCTGATGTTGTGTCAGAGACGATACCGATTGGATTCTAGTAGAGGCGTGAAATTTCTATAATTCAAGCCACTGATGGATTTGCCCAGTTTGGTACTTACTAATCGTATTCGCATAAGCTTCTTAACATGATTTTTTCTTAACATTTGCATACGTCACAATATTGAGAAAAAACAACAACATAGCATTGTGTCCAGCTTTTTGAGTTGACTCTAGCAACTTTGTGTCCAGAGTCACTTTTTTTGGTAGAGCATATATTTTTCTCCACTGTCCTCGAGACAGATTTAGGTTATGGATATTCGTCCATTTTATTTCATTTTTGCATTCTTTTTCCTTTGGGTCCAATTTGGTTAAGAAGTTATATATATGTTTACAACCCTTAGATTTGCTAAGTACGGTCTGGGTTGGTCTCGAGGCGCATGGTTTTTGCAAATGAGAATGTACATAGTTTGATATCATATTTTTCCATGTTTTGGGAAGAGATGTTATCAATCCGTCGTAGTGAAGAAATGAACCTTTCAGTCCAAATTCGTCTTTTATGTTGTCAATGTTTTGACCATGCCTTTATCATTTAGAAGGTCATTAATAATTCTCACTCCCTTGTAGACATTGGACCCCCATATCTCGACTCCCCCAGATCACCACACAGATTCGGAATCTACGCAAACAACTGGTCTAGCAAAACTGGATGTTATAAATTCACAGCTCGGATGGCAATTCCACCTCCACTCCGCCCCACCCCACCCCATTCAGCCACCGGACTACAATTCAATTCTTAATATTGACTTATCAAACAACATAATATACATGATATCAGAAGTAAATACAAACACACTATTAAATATATTGTTACGGTTAGAGAATAAATATAATGCAAACATACAGAAAACATCAGTATACAATAAATATTATGAAGGACGAGTATGTGTATTGTTTTGTTTATCTACGATTTATATGGCAGAACAAGATTTTCGTCAACAAAAATATTAATTATTGTTCAAAGATGGAATTACTGTTATTCCTAACCTGAATTCATCATTTCTTACAAACCGCATACAGGCGAGGTCAATTAGTATATTTGGGAGGACAACAGAGTTTCTATTTGTGGCTATTCCGATAAAAAATCAGATAAGTTTGATCGAGAATAAAATCTTCAATCTAGTCTTATGAGTTTTAATCCCGGAATCAAAATCATATTGTACCTGAAAATAATTACGGATAATACTAGTTGTCTGCATCAAGAGGAAACTAAGTTTGGTACTACTACTACTAATAATAATAATACCCCTGCAGGTGTTTCTATTACATTGAACTGATTTGTAGAGATTCTAAATGATCATTCAAGGAGACTTAGGTTTAAACGTCTTAAATTTGCAAGTTCTTAATTAGGCGAGTCTAAGTATCTTACTCTGAATGATTAATGTTTCTTTAATTTGAAATTCAAAGAACGAAAAATTATGTTCCTTATTCCATTGCAGATGCAGTGTTATTATCTTTCGTAAACAAGGGACGGGAAAATAAAATGACATAAAATACTAACCTCCCTTTGGTATATTTCATAATGTAATCGATTCGGTGTTCAACTTCTCTGTTGGAATCAGTTGGTGGCATGTAACGAGTCCAATTTGGATTAAACACCCATTCGTTCCAGAATATATTATGCCCCCTGGCAGGAATACTTAAATAACCAGTAATTACTATAATTTAAGAACTGTGTAAACTATCATAGCTTTCTACCTCGTATATTCTCCACAGAAGAGGTAGTAAGGAATTTATGCCAATAACGGTATGATCGGTAAATTTAAGAACTGTGTAAACTATCATAGCTTTCTACCTCGTATATTCTCCACAGAAGAGGTAGTAAGGAATTCATGGCAATAACGGTATGATCGGTAGAATTTAATGACATTTTTTATTTATAGACTTTAGTTTCAAACAGTTTTCCAGTCTCCTACCGGAAACTTGTTTCCACCAATATTTCGGTATAAGTCTGGTGTGTGTATATTGTCTGGTGTGATTATCGTAAATACATTTGGTGTTCTCCCAAAATGGGCTCTATTCCCAACATAACTTAATCTTAAACTAGTTTCGGCAACTATGTTCAGAAGGCAAATCATAAAAATCACCACAATAAAAAGCATATAAAACTTGTGTTTTTTCTTTATAGAGTAAAGATATTAATCTCATATTTACCCATGTTGTTTTAAAATATCAAGAGCTGTATTAGCGGCTGAGTAATCAGGACTTTCCTATTTACGTAAAACATAAGAAAAATATATATATTAAAGTAGCTAAGCCTCAAACGCAAAGTATTCCGTAATATTCGAAATTAAAGACACGAATTAGAATTCAATATTAGTCCATTTATTTCAATCAATATTAATGTTGTTATTTTGCTGTGAAAATATAAGATCCTAATGTCCAATATTTAAGTCACGATGAACATTTTAAAATCATTTTTATCTATTCATTAGAGCAGTTTTTGTCTATATTAAGGTTCCAAAGAATAGGGTCATGCCCCCTTTAAGCATTACTGGATCTTTTATTATGTCGTTGCGTGTTTGTTTGCTCGGGGTGTGTGTGAAGTTGAAATTAAAATATTACACAACATAAATACAACAGATGGCTGGCTTGCATATATGTTCGATGTAAATATAAATATGTACTATCATGATTAACAGTTTGCCGGAAAAATACAACAGTTATTATGCTGTGACCGAATTCATTTCGATAACACACCTTAAGAAATTAACGGAACACCAACAATGTCTTTCATGATAATCTAAACCAAGTATACTATGATTAGTGATCAAACGAATTCTTCATAGGTGGTCTAGCTTGAATCTTTTTAAACAGGAAATGGTCTCTCCCGAGAACTAATGCCACTTCAATGGGAGGTCCACACAGCTAATCGTCATATTTTTATACGCCCACATTTTCATGTGGACGTATATTGTCGTCGCCCCTGTCCATCTGTTCGTCCGTCCATCCACAGTTTGTTTGTGGACACACTACGGGTCACAATTTGTATCCGATTCTGACGAAACTTAAAATATAGGTTTATCTTCCAAAGATCTCGGACCTTTCGAAATCGGACCGTAACTTCATGGATTACGTCTTTAGCTTCTGGACACATTTTTTCACCCGATTTTGATAAAACTTGAAATGCATCCTTATAACCCAAAGACCTTGGTTTCTTGTCAATATTCCCCAATATCGGATCGTAACTTCCTGAATTATGGCCCCTAATTCTACGAAAAATCGCGTTTTTAGCTTGTGGTCCCTCTAGATGTCATACTTTTTATCTGATTTTAAAAAAACAAAACATTCCAATATATCACCATTACATATTATCGTCAGTTGAGATGTAATTTCGTGAAAATCGGACCAAAACTACTGGACAAAATGGCCGACTGTCGTACGCAAATAATATTTTTTAAAATATGGTATATCAATGTTGTGGACCCTATGGAGGTCACAATTTTCATCCGAATTTGATGAAACGTTAAATGCAAGTTTATAGCCCAACGATCTTGGTTCCTGTCGATATTAGGGCATATCGGATCGTAAATTCCCGAATCATGGCCCCTGATTGTATTTCGAAAAATGGCGTTTTTAGCTTGGGGTGCCTGTAGAGGTCACATTTAAAAACCGCTCAAATATATCACCGTTGCACATAAATATGTCGGTTGAGTTCGAATTTTGGACCAAATCTGTCGGACAAAATGGCTGTCCCTCGCATTTTTTGTTGTAGTTACGTTGTTATTGCATGTATGACTTGAGTACTGCATAATCTAGCCATGCATTATGTTCTAAAGTTTTAGATTTGTATATTTCGTCTATTGCGTTATTTTAAGCGACCCTTTACTGTGCTGGACTATTTCCTCTGCGATTATAAAACATAGTTAGTGCTGTCGCGTACTAACATTTGGAATTTGGGTTTTAGCTTAGCTACCATTCATTCATAAACTTGCTCTAATGAAATATGTATTCTCCATCGGATTTACAAACCTTGGGACCAGATGACCACGCCCAAAAATAAGAAGCCATAGTAGCATAATTGAACATGTAATAAAATAACTCCCTGAAATGGGAGTATTCTGGTTTTAATATCATCTCTTCTGTTACTTTAGAGCCGAAAGGAAATGCATGTCTGGTCATCCTAATCTGAAATATAAGCAAAATAATTAATGTATATACATACGTATTTAATGTGAATAAGCAGATGCATGGATTGGGGGATAAAATGTGTGGGTTGGGGGCGGTCAGCGACATCTACTTTATCCCCCCAGCAATCCCATCCTCGTTATCCTATGTCCTAATAAAGTGAACATTTTTTGTTAAATTTCAAAAAGATCCTATAGTAAATGTGACCTCGAGTATGTTAACAAGGTTTTAAAACCCTTGGAGTAATCGCCAGAACTAGTTAAAAATCAATAGTAATTGTCTTCCTTTCAATAAGTCGAACAACCTACTGGCATCCACCCTAGTCATATGCAGCACATCGTGATCTACTCCACTGTTACAACTTACAAAATTTAATATGCTCTATTTTGATTGAAAGCTCAATGAACTATCCCAAAGGTGCTCAACGGTACTTTTAAATGTAAATTTAGAATATCAGCATTATTGCAAGGACTGGGTAAAACGTGTTTACCTCAACTTGATAATCTTGTACATTTGACTGTGATGGGACCTTCACTCTGAAAAAGACAATGCCCAGATACATCATGTTATAACAGCAACTTGTTTACAGCACAGGGAGAATATCATATATTCGGGGATTTAGGTTTATAGATACTTTCCAACAGAAGTATTTATCGGGTGGTTCTTTCCAATTAAAGTATGTCAATTTTGGTATAAATAAAAATTAGAAAAAATGTAAGGCTTTCCCTTACCGGCAACCCGACGATTAGGGATGTCTGCTCGAGTGACACCAAAGGTTGCACGCGAAGATTGTCTGATCTCTCAGTTTCTGAGATAAAAAAAACACGGAAAAAGACGTGGGCAGTGGATAATCCGAGAATTTAATTAGGCTTCGATATTTATGATAAATGCACAGAGATTAAAGGCAACATCATTTTGTATATGCAATGAATTCTCCTCTGACTTGCACACGTTGCTAGGTACCGCGTTAGCCAAGTCGCGTGACACAAACATAACTTCTTTCAATAAATTTTGATAGCTTTGGGTATTTCCTCGCGAAAACAATGTTTTGAGAAGGATTTGAAGCAAAATTTTGATAGATTAATTCGTTTCAATATGTTTTAGCCCAAGACGTATCATCAAATCACCTAGTTTGTTAGCGAGAAGGTATCTTTTATCAGAGAGGTAGTAAAATAGAGACTTCAATCTCTTAACGCGAACTTCCACATTTTTGGACCTGGATATATTTGGGGGATAACGCTCTTTGAAAAAAAAAATAAGGCTATGCCAATTATAGTCGTATTCGGGAATTTGAACAGAAGGAAAGCGGGGTCCGGGCTGGAGGATTACCGGATAATTATATTTAAATTTGAAGCCCTGAGGTCATATTTCTACTAATCAAGGTGCATACAAGTATAGGATTAGAGTGGAGTGAGGCCATAACAACGACAATCCTTAGCAAGTTCGTCTTTTAGGCGTTATTTCAATGAATGTAGGGGAAACAATATTAATATGTTTTGCGCAATTCAAGTACGGTCGACATGAAACTTGACTTGATTAGCTTTGCGCTCGGTTCCTAGTCCATAAAACCGGAGGTTAGTCAGCGACCCTACGCCTTTAGATCGAAACTAATATACTCTGTAAATTATTTGAATGTATTTTACCGAACATTGATATTATTCTTTCTGTATTTCTCAATTCGTGCGTCAGCCTTTTGCTTCCAATTTTTATCTTCCGGAATAGCTGTCAGTATTGCAGCATCAACTAGAAACTCTATTCCCGGATCAGCCATTTGTATAAATATACTGCTGTTGGTAAAATCTGTTTGTTTTTGGGCGGTTTTTTTTTTTAAAAAAAAGTATAATTTTTTATATATAAAGATTTCAAGAAATAAAGGTATTATTTTTTAAAATGTTCATCCAATATATTGTAGTGTGTGTCAAACTTGAGGCGAATCTGTTCCCCCATCCGAAGTGTAGAAAGACTCTGTGCCGCATATATTTCATTATGGAGGGGGCTGGTGTTAGTATTTAAAAATTGTTGTTAAATGTGTTATGACGCAATGGACAAAGGGGTGCAGGGAATGAAAACCATATTCTTTCAATGTTTCATATATCAACAGCTAGACCCCTTGCGCTTCTTATTATTTTGAAACAGTTCATCCCACGCTTTCATAACCTTAATCTGCAGTATTATATTATTTCATCATATCTAGTGAACAATCTCTATTTAAATTGAATGTTGATAGATATTCATTCAGAAGCATTGGTTTCAGACTTGTGTGAATAATGAAAATAATCTTATCAGTTTATGAACTGCTTATCCCGGTAGACTACATGAATGGTTGAATTAGACTAATTAATTGTTTTACATGATCGTGATACAAAAAACATCAATCATGAGCATACAATTTACGCACTGTCAAAACAGTGTAGAATAAAGATTCTCCATTCTATTGCGTTCAAAGCAAAATACGGGTGAAGTTATCAATAGGATTACATTTTTATGTGACAGCTGATCGACCACACCCACCTTTATCTGGAGTCATTATGTAACCTTCCAATTTAATCCAACCTCTTTCAGGTCGAACTTTCTGATCTCGAACAAGATTGGTTTCAACTATATGGCCTAGAGAAGATAATTTTAGATATGTATTTATATACGTAGAATAAATTTCAAGTTTACAATTGTCTGTCGCAATTCATGAAATTTACTGATTTGAGCAGACGCCATAGGACCAGTGTATTATATACTATTCCAAAAAAGTAGGGGATATTCAGAAACAATACAAAACTGCGGAAATGCACTGATGGTTTTATTAGAGGTAACCAGTGTATGTTAATAACAGGCCAATTGCCTACACATGAACATAAACAGTTTATATGGGCGGCTTATCTGACGGCCCCATTTCACTCGCAAAGAAATACACCGTCAAAAGTGAAAATGGACGTTTTTGATTTTTGTCTTAATAATGAGTAATTGCTCCACCAATCCTCAGACATTCAGCAATTCGTCTTGGCATGCTCTTAATCAACCGTCCAATCACGATTTGGGGCAATCTGACCCACTCCTCTTGCAGTGCCACGGCCAATTCTTGCAGTGTTTTTGGTTGACGTCGACGAACACGTCTCCCGATCAAATTAAACGCAACACACTAAAGCAAAGATAGGCTAAACAGCAAATCTTATGCAAGAACCGATAGAAAAGCAAACATGGATAGATAAACCAGCACGCGGCAGTTTTCATCAACCCTTCCTTGAAGTGTCAAATTTGACAATGAACCCCTCGCACGTGTATGGCACTATTGCGTGTCGCATTAGCTACGGGAACGTAACTAAAAACGCTGAGATATATACTGATGTGCTTGTTTTTAGCTACGATTGGATGCCTTTAGTTCCAAGTGGCAAACTCAATTTCTTTATTAATGTATGTACCATCTTAAAAATAAGTTAATTTTATACTATTAGTACTTATTACACATACGCAGTCCAATCTACTGAAACAACATTCATTTATCAGCAAATATTGACAATAAAGTAAATCAAGCGTTGTTTTTATCAAAATTGATTCGGACGTTCATAATTACGCCGTATTACTACTGCGCAACTCTGATCAGATGGGTACTTTGATTGGCTATTGCACACGAGGCCCCGCCTTTATGTGTTACCAACGTAAATTTAAAATATCGGAAAAAGCAATCTACTGTCGCTACATTGAAGGTAATAGCATCATCTCTTATCTCAAAACACGGAGGGTTGAGAGATAAGGTTTGTTATCTAGTGTCGCATGTGCAGCTCAGTGGTTCTGTTGGGGCGATAAGTTCTTCATCTGTGAAAATACTCTGAAAGCATGCCAAGTTTCCATGACTTTATCATATCACAACTTGCATAGGTATTTCCATTTCAATATCCCCTGTTTTTTTAAGAGTATATATTTAATAAAAGAAAATGTTGCTGGTTAAATAAGGGTGTAAACGTTGTGTAAAAGTTGGGTAGTATGTATACCTGGGTTTAACTCAAAGTTTCCACTTATTCTAAACTCTTGGAAGAGCTTCGAAGGGTTTTTGTTTAGCTGCTTAATGGACCATACCAGATGATAACGAGAATTCCGAGATAAATGTACAGCCTGCATCGGACCTTGATTTGAATGTGTTCTGAAATGAATAATGTTTACTCGGTAAATTACTTCTTTGTTTTAAATTTGGTCAGAACCAAACTGGACTAACCCACATTTGACTACTATACTTTTCGAGAAACTTGTCTTCAAAGTTTGTCGATGATCAAAATTTCAATATTCCCCCATCCAGTCAGCGATATTTTGATATCCCATAGATTATAGTATGCCTCTATTCAATAACATAACATTAAGCTTGTACAACATTTTTTGAGATTTAAGGAGACACTGGATTAAATCAGTCTAGTTCTAAATAGTAGAGCAGCTAAGCACTAAAAAGCTATCAATTCTTGACTAAAGCAGTGACTGCCGTCTTAAATTCCAAAATGCCCACGAAAATAACTTAATTTTCTCCATATCTCCAATTCTACAGCACTCTGGACAGAAAATAAAGTGTATATATCCATATTTTCAATACTAAGAAACTCAAAGGCCGTATCAGAAATTCGATCAAAAGCCCGCCCTATTGGATTTAAAGATGGCCACAACGTTTCAGACATTCATTTGTATCTCAAAAATCATAAAAGCTAGAAACAAGCTTCTAACGTTTGCGACATCAGGTGAGTATAATCATGCCCGGCAAGTGCCGTGTTAAGACATTCATCTGTATTTTGGTGGCCATTTAGAGAGTCATTTTAACAGCTTTAACAGTTTCATGCTTGACTCAAGAAGTGGGCGATTCTTGTTTAATTCCCCCATAACCGCTCTACTAAAATTGTAAAATAACAATTGATTATTAGGAAACATGTACCTTCATTAAAAGCAAAATATTAAAAGTCATAAGATTTAAAGGTAAAATCATGTGAATAAATCCTACCTGTCCGTGATTTTAATAGCACGACTACCACTAACTTTGTCGTCCGTAATGGAGACCATGGTGCATCCTGATGTGCAAATCCAGTTCTTGTGATTTCCGTCTTCGAAATCACCATCTTTGAAAATATTCTGACATCCAACTAATTCTAAAAGGATGCATATATTTAAAACCTTTAACGCTACTAATAACATATTTCTATCAAGGAGGTGGTGGCCTGAATGAAACATGTGCGACCTCCATAGCTTTATCTGCCTGGATTTTTTAAGTTTAATCTTTCTAGGTCGAAACAGTGATTGGCTGATTCACGTTGTATCATTTTGCAACCTGTTAAATGTCACATCGGTAAATGGCTACATCTCTTTGAAAATGTTGAATTTATGTCGACACAGCCAAAAATTTAAACATTTAACCTTTTAACCCATTTTCTTTTTCCAATATACACAGACAAAATGTATCGCAACCTCTATTTGAATATAGTGCTAATGTTTGATCAGATGTGTTAGACCTTTTATGTTCTGGGAGGTATTCAATCATCATGAACTGCCTCTATGAAACACTGATCCAACAAAGAAAGACAAAAACTAAAGTTTAAATAGAAGATTTAAAGCGAGTTTAGAAATAGAAGCGGACATGGGTGAAACCAAGTCCATACAAACAGGTCATTGGGAAACCCTAGAGTTTAGCTCATTTCATTTGATGTTCAAGTTTGCCATTGAGCCCTCAAAAAAGCAGGGAACAAACTCAATTGGATTCTGGTCAGGGCCTCCCGTTGGCCATGGTAGAGTGATATGGTAAATTATAAGTCTACATGTAGATACAACATTAATTGTGACATATTATGTATTTAAATTTTTGTATATATTTTATTAACACACATGTTCATTCAATATAGACGTTAATCAACCCTCAAGCTTGATAGACTATTAAAATTGTAAATTAATTCCATTATTTTAATTACCATACGATTAGGCATAATAAACCAGTCAGTTTTAAATAGTATTTAATGCGTCATGTTTAATATCAATCAGGGAAGAAGCTAATTATTCAGTATTCTATCCATTATTGTTATTGGTGTTAATCTATCTAGTGATAATCCTGTATAGTATATGTTTTGATGGCAACACTTGAGCGTATCCATTTATTGTTAAAATAAAGGCTAATGTATTTCAATAGGAAAGTAATAAGGCCATCCGACTTAGTAGCATCTACGTCGGCCATCCATTGTGCTGTAGGTGTAAATTGTATGTATTGAATTATTGTCATTTGTAAGATATAAGTTTCAGCAATTAAAAGGTTGAAGAACTAGTCCAGCTTTATTAGTTAATGAAGTACCTACCGGTTATATATGGTGCAGATTAGGGTACGGATCCAGGAAACCTTTCTTCAACAAGCCAAGCGAGTAGCCAACCCCAAACCAAAGACAAAATCTGGACCTCTTCTTGTCCATATTAAACTTGAGAACAAACTAAGATAGTTGACAGACATTTTAAGTCCTAAATCGACGATTTTAGTCGAAAACACTAAGTATACTTTAAGAATTTTGTATCTATTCTGCTTCCATTTATTTAGTCTTCGTGTGTATGACAGATATGAAACGGAGTAGAAACGCATTACAAAACAGTATACTAATTTTTGGATATGGCGGCCATTCAGGGCAGAGATCTATTCTCGAGGAATATATTACATGGATCTCTTTGTGTGCAGAATGCTTCTTGTAAAGACAAAAGGAGAGTTCGAGACTATCTGTTTTTCTTTGTACACGAAATCAAAACGGCAACATGGCAGAAAACAAAACTACAAACAACAACAGTTGTACTCCAAGTGTCTCAAGAATGGAAAATGAATTACCAAATGTTACAAACCAAACTATACTGCAATCACAAATGCCATTTTACACGGGTAAATTTTACGGCGAGAAAGGATAAAATGTTGATCATTTGGGCACGTTTTAAAGCCTCAATTAATGAAGAAAACGTAAGTGGACACAACCAAAAACTGTTATTAGGAATTTCTCTTAAAGGAAGAGCAAAGATGTATTTGACTCTTTTCAGACATTTTTGGAGGCACTGAAAAGAACGTTTTGAAACAAATCATCGTTTGATCCATCAGTGCCAGAATGCAATCAAGAGGGAGAGAAATGGGGTTTAACGCCCACTTGACACAAACTAGGTCATTTCGGGACTAACATATGGTTCTATTTTATTTAAATAATTCGCTTGTTCGTAGGGGCCTTTAGCAGTGGGAGGAAACCGGAGGACCCGGAGAAAACCCACGAGGTTGGGAAGGCAACCCCACCCCTTGTCACATACAACCGTGGAATCGAAACCACGCCAGTTGACTCAATGACAGACCTTGTGATACAACGTGCGCGCGCTAAGCAGTCGGCCACCCAACTCCCCAGAATCCAGTTAAGGAATGTGTGCATCGATTCCAGACCACACATTCCTTCCAATCATGAATACGGCCGGGGGTACAAAGTAAGGATTCAAAGATTCTCCAAGAAGTGCACAGATTCACAAAATCTGTGGAAAATAACAGTAGTTATCAGTGGATGTTAATTTTGTGTAACGAGACAAACTTCAAAAATTGCTAAGAACAAACTTACGCTTTGCAAAAACAAAGAGCCAACTTTTAACAGACCAGATCAAAACCAACGTATAGACAAATGGCAGACGATACACAGATTGAAAGCTGTAGATATTGTTACATAATGTGAGCGACAGTGATAGGTAAAAGATTAGAATCGTCGAGCATTAATTCGATCAAAACTCGATTATGGGTGTATTGTGTATGGGTCTGCCCGCAAGTCTTATCTCAAAGAGCTCGACACCATACACAACCAGGGACTTAGAATCAGTTTAGGAGCATTTCGTACATCTCCAGTGGACAGTTTATACGTCGAGGCGCATGAGCCTTCACTGCACAACAGACGTGATAAACTGGCCCTGCAGTATGCTACGAAAATAGCATCACTTCCGAATCACATTTCATTTAACACCATATTTAGACCTATTCATGAGCATTTGTATCTGGTGAAGACTAATGTTATTCCATCATTCGGTATTCGCATACAACCCCTTTTGTCTGAGGCTGGTATCAGCCTTGACAGTATTGCGAATACCCCTGTCGTTAGGACTCCACCGTGGGCTATATCTCCCCCAAAGATCCATTTCGATCTTACTCAACATAAAAAGAGAGATACTAGCTCTACGGTGTTCCAATCTTAGAGAGTTAATGTCTAAGTATGGTGATTATGCTCCTATTTACACAGATGGTTCTAAAGATGGCGACCGAGTGGCTTCGGCTACCGTGACACCATCTGAGACCATTTCTGTGTGTCTTCCATCTGCTGCTTCAATATTTACAGCTGAGCTCCAGGCCATTCTTCAGGCCTTGGAGTTCATACAATCCTCTTCATCTTTAAAGCATGTCATCTTTACTGATTCTCTGTCCTCGCTTCAAGCAATTAACAATAAACGTTGTCTTTTGCTGGCTCCCCAATCACGTTGATATAAGGGGGAATGATCAAGCAGGTTTTGCTGCCAAAGCTGCTTTAGATCTTCCACAATCACCCTTTTTAATACCATATAAAGATTTTAAATCATGTATAAATCATTTTATTTATGACCACTGGCAACGGTCTTGGGATCTTGCAAGCACAAATAAACTTCATCACATTAAGCCTCTCCTAGAAGATTGGCCCAACTCCTATAGAACCAACAGGAGGGATGTTGTTTTGTGTCGCTCTCGTTAGATTCACCATATGCTTGGCGCAATATAGCCCGATTGGAGCTGGCGTGCCATAAAACCACACTTCATTTCATGTCATATGTCAGCTTGTGTGATCTAATCGCCTATGTCCTTTAATTGACCATACTATAGTTTAATTTAACAAAGGCCCAGCTGCTGCCATAGGTATACTGGCCAAGTTAGATAATCATGGTCAAGTTAGATAAGACGCTGACCGCTAGTTGCGTTTACTACAATGTGTTCAATTGTCACACATCATTGTTCTGTAACCTGCTATGTGATTATCGTGAGATAATCTAAAGTTCTTTTGTTCCGTATCATTAATGAATGTACTATTATCATTCACCATATTTGGTATACATTGTGTTAGGTTTTTGGATATAGACCAGACGAGCTTTGGTTGCTCACCAGAGAAGGGGTTCTCGTATATTTAGTATTTTGATACTATTGTATATATTATAATAAAATGTTGAATCCCGATCATCTTTTATTTCTGTTAACCCAAACTACATACGTTATAATCATAAATTGGCGACCGTGTCCAGCGAACAACTGTGTTGTATGAAAAGACACAGAATGGAGTAGTGGCAGCCGAATTCTCTCCAGTTTGAACTAACTACAGAACCAGTCGACGTCAGAAAAGGTAGTTTGTTTTGTTATTTGTTATTTTTCGTAACCAGCGGCTGCCAGGCAGGATACGCCCACATTTTCGAGAGATGGATAGAGAACAAGCTAAAAGAAAGTGATTTTCCCTACAATCAAAGGCCATAATTCAGGAAATTACAATTCGATATGCGCGAATATCGAGAAGAACCAAGATCTTTGGGTTATAAACTTATATTTCAAGTTTCAACAAAATCGGATAAAAATTGTGACCTTTATAGGGTCCACAACCTTGATATACCATGCACCCATGGAAGTATATCATTTAAGACCTTGCTAAAATGTTTAAAATGTAATAAACATGGTCATAAAACACACGAAAGTCGTTCTGCAGCGATTATTAATACGGTCTATAATAAAAGAAAGTATGACAAAGTAAAGTCAGGTCAAATTTAATAGCCAATCAAATCAATTTAGGTTCAATTCTAATATCTCGTTACAATTCAAAATCACATATAATTTGTTGGAATTGTAATCAACCAGGTCATATAAGTCGTTTTTGTCAATATAAACCTGCATATTATCCAAATCAATCAAGATTTATGAATAAAGCAACAAGACATCAAGGTAGGTAAACCCGAACACAACATTTAAACTAAAGGGCTCTTTTCATGTTGAAGCTTATGAAAAGAGTTCACTAAACATGCCTTTATTTTATTTAAATATACTATTCAAAAAAAGGAGGGGATATTTGATTTTTAAGTGTTATTAAAGTCACCTAAT